TTACTGAACGATGCGCAGAAGGCTCAGGATTTGGCACAGTTTGCAATTAATCAAGCTGAACGGGACGTGAAAAGGTCTGAGATGGATCTGGAGGAGATCGCGGAGGTGACCAGAGGGGCTCAGATGCAAGCGAACAGCACTACGCAGACAGTGAATCAACTGGATGGTCGCTTAAAGCTGCTGCAGACTCAGTCGGTAAGAAACGACTTCGTTCTGAACCAAGAGATCGGTGTCGAGGCTCAAAAAGTAGCCGACGAGGCGAAGAACGTCGATGCGAAAACGAGGAAACTCTCCGAGGAGTACAAACGTGCCGACGAGTCGTTGGGTCTCAGAGTGAACAAGAGCAAAGATAACATTCAGAGGGCGAAGAAGCTCCTGCAGAGGGCCTCGGAGTTGACGGCAGACACGTCGACCAAATTTAAGGACCTCGATGGCATGGAGATCGTTTACAGGGATAACGAGAGGATGTTGTTCGATTTGAAGTCTGAAGTCGATTCACTGACCGGAGAAATGGAGAAACACTTAGCAGAGATAGAACAGAAGGCGCAACAGTATAGACAATGTACTTCTTGAATGTCTGAAGAGACTGTCGATAGAGGCTTTTTTCGTTTACCTTCATGATATTATTTTTCATTATTCATTTCGACAGAAACATTTCCTGGGGTGTTTTATATCCCTTTATCAAATTATTATCCTTCTAATCCAGTATGTTTTTTCTCGATTTCAAGATTCTTTATGGTTCTCATCGTTCAGAAGTTCACTTACTGAAATTGAGAAATTAACGATTATGTAACTAATAAAAGTAGTTTATTATTAATATTGTATGATAGTGAGCCATGTAATATAAAATACAAAGATTAGGTTTAAAGGATAATCTAAAACGAAAACAATTTGTAAAAACAATTTGTACTTTTACAGATAATAAAGTAATTAAGGATAGCAAAGTTAGGTACTGCGCTCTGTATTATAAACAATAAAAACTTATTCTATTAACATAAACTATCAAAATTCCTTTTTCAATTACTGAAGTCTTGATAATTAACAGGATTCTGAAACAGCCATATTGGAATTTTAATTCTCTACAAATGATAATAAAACAGTGTTTAGAATGTAAGGTACGAGGAAAATAAAACCTATGACAGAGTTGCTTTATAAAAATAGTATTTGTGGTTTATTATCGTATAGCCTGGTTTCGACCTGCACGTGTTTCCTGTACGTACCATACCCCTGTCTAAATCCTTGACAAGATGTTCTATCCATCAGTATCTTAGCATTCTAAATCAGTATTCGTTGCTGATACAGAATAAATTTTTATTTAATTAAACGAGTGATTTTTAATATTAAAAAAAAGAAGAAAATTTATCTGACAATTATCAAATTCTATTTTCCTTTCGAGTGGTAGAAAACTGATTGTTCCGTGAAAGCAGCCGAGCTGAAGAAGGCTTCTGTCCCTACATATGGGACTTTTTTATTTATTATTTCGACGCACCTCGCCCTTAAGCCGCCCCCCTTTTGGCTTTTAGAATCGAGTTCAGACGCCGTAGTACTCCGTGAATAGACAGCATTGTTGAACAGAGCTGAAATGAAATAGTGTATAGGCTTGTAGGACTATACATAATGAGTTCATTCAGAACACCCAACAGTGGTTGTCCAATACCCTGCTTTGCTGTTAGAAATATTTAATAAGTTGAATACGACGAGAAATAATAAATATATAAAAGATGTCTATTTTTTTAGAAAATATAAAAATTTGCCTCAAGTATATTTCTATCGTGAATACTTCGTAGAACAACGTCCTATTTTTACAATTTTCAAATTACTTTCTATCATTTAATTACAACGCACAGAATTATTCTTCTGTTTATTAATCATCGACAAAGAAGTTTTTTAATGTATAATCCACGGTAGCTCTTATCGTTCTCTGTGCTGCATTCTAAGATTTATTGTTACAGATCATTTTTATTGCATGTAGATTATAACTATCGACATATGTTTTATGTACGCTCAGATTCTCTGCCTTTCCGGTTGGTATGTAAAACTCGGATCACTGCCACGAAGAAAATCGCTAATTACTCAAAGTCAATAAAATGATTTTTCCATATCAGCCTGTTATATACAGCTCGCTTCTTATATTCAATCCTGAGCTCTGTTAAATATAACGAGTGATGTTTTACTTTCTCTTAATATTCTAAAATTACAGTAAAATTTGAAACTTCACAGATCTATTGTTAATTGAATAATAAAAAAAAAAATTAATCAGTATGACTCGGTTGAGGCGGGATCTGTTTTGGGAAATTTTATCGCGTAGATAGCTTATCGGTAATAAATATAGCCGGAAGGGCCCGCCCTTTTCGCGTGGGTACTATCTCTATCTTTTATTTAACCACATATTTTGGTATCCAGCTTCCATTGACGACAACGGAAATGAACAAAACGTTTGCGATAATCTGACATAATTATTCCTTTAGATAATATAACGTAATCATCTCAAAGTATTCAATGAAATTTCAAAAAATAATACCAAGATCCGAAACATTGTTCGACGAAATGATTTGGAAAAAATCTCAATCAAATAAAGACGAGCAGCTCGTCTATGATCTGGTAACTCATCCCTCGAACTCAATGAATTTCCAGACATGAAAATAGACTAACCGCGTCGTAAAACGTTGGGCTATGTAAATTGAAAAAATTATTTTCGAAGGGACAGTCGAGATAACGAGATGAATTCTCTTTGGGTAAGATAAAATATTGTCGCAACGATAGTAAGGGTTCCAGGCGAAAGGGAGGCTTGTATGCATAGCCTGATTACACGGGCCCGTCGCCTCAGGAAACATTTCGCCTCTATTATCCTGAAAACAGGCAACGAAAGAACTACTATTCTTCTCGCGGAGCATTCCTCTTGTAAGCAGGTTACTTGAACCGGTCTAATCGGGGGTTGCTTATTCACAATGGCTCGTTCGAGGAATTTTCGAGCTGCCTGGTGCATCTCATTTGAATTTTCATAAGGTTTTACGAATCGCATCGGAGAAATTGGGAAAAATTCTGCAAGATAAAATTGTTTGACTTAGGAGACTGGATGGAGCGACTACGATATAATATTTCTCTATGATTACCTTTAATCACAGGGTAGAGAGCCATATGGAAGTACTATAGGGATGCAAGGGAAAGGAAGAGGGGGGGAGGGGGATTCAGTTTTGTTTGCGGGATCGTTCCTTTCGATTGTTAGACTTCGGCTTTGTGCTGGCAGCTGGCCTACGTGATGGTAAGTCGCCTTTACGGTTATCTTCAACATTAGCGAGGGGTTAACTTGTATTGAAGTTGCTCGTGAGAAATCTTCGCCCAACTGCATGTACTGCATACATAAAAGAATTCGTATGATCAGTAAATAAATACAATATTTATGTAACAGTACAAGTTACAAAAACATTACCAAGAAGGTGGGAAAATTGCAAAGTAAATTGAATTTTTTCTAAGCAATTTCCTATAAATAAACATTTGATATTTATATACGGTTCGTAGACGTTGAAATAAATGTTAGAAAAGAAAGCAGTGTTCGTGTGATTATCAATTAATCCTCACCGTTTTGTCTCATGGAGTTGATCAATTCGTTAATGAAATAAGTGAAAAACCAATTCATTAGAGAGTAGAGGACATTCAATTGATAGCAGCTCGTTAATCTAAGAATTAATAGCTCGTAGTAGAGAAATAACATACGAATACGCGGTTATTTTTCTGCCACCCCTTACACCCCGTTGACAGCGATAATTTCAATGTGTGCCAATCGCGTTTCGTCCAACGCTCCTTCGTCCGTTTTCACCACCGCCTCGACCTCGTCGTAAGGAACAGCCCGGCAGTGCGTGAAACGTGTGCCGTGAGAGCGAATGGAGCGGAAGTTAGGGCGGAGAGTGCACGTTCGGGCGAGCTTTTGACAAAAACAATTAATGAAAAGTAATATTGTTAAAAATAATAACGAGTACTGTTAACAGTTTGTCGAAAGATTATTCTATTCCAAGAAAATGTAATTCATTTTTATGTATCCGAATTGATATTAAAGTTAAGTGAACCCGAAGAATAATGTGATCTTCAAAGACGAATTGGAAAATTTGAGTGCAAAATGATCCATCATTCAGAGTGCACAACGATAGCGATGTCAGTTATTTATTTTTCTTTTTGAAAATTTGTTAATATATAAAAAGACATTTAATTCAAACGAGAAGCTCTATTGAAGAACTTTATAATTGTGAGTACCTATTGCTATTGTACTGTTCCTAATTGTAGAAAATAATATTATACAAATCTGTTCATAATAAGACCTGATCAGAAATGAAATTTGTCAGGAGGTGATATAATTATTACGTGGTTTGTGAATAATAGTTTTGTAACATAAGTAAAATAATATTATACAAATCTGTTTATAATAAGACCTGATCTGAAATGAAATTTGTCAGGAGGTGATATAATTATTACGTGGTTTGTGAATAATAGTTTTGTAACATAAGTAAAATAATATTATACAAATCTGTTTATAATAAGACCTGATCTGAAATGAAATTTGTCAGGAGGTGATATAATTATTACGTGGTTTGTGAATAATAGTTTTGTAACACAAGTAACTGTAATACAATGTAAGTAAGGGTTGATAAGAAGCGTAAGGGAAAAGCGCCCCACCACTTGCCTTATTTATTTATATTCTTTATTTGCGAAAATAGAAGATTAGACTTTCCTTAGAACCTCCTGAGGTTCTCCCGAGGCTTTGTTGGCTCTTTCCGGGTTCTCCCAAGATCGAGTACTAGTGGAGGGAGGATTCTTCCCCTACACTTATTCCTAGCAAAAGGTAGCCCACGTTGCACCTGAGGGTACACGGTTGATTTGTTCGGTACCCGGTGCAGCTTGCACGCTAGCAAGATTGTCGCGAGGTAGAGAAACAGTGGAGAATTCTCACGGTGTATCTCGATGAGTATCGTTTCATTCTACTGCACTTGAACGACGCTACACTGCATAACAATGATCTCCAAAGAGATTTATTAATTACACGATTCTTCGCGGACAGTGGTGCTCAAAGCGGATCGAACGCTGCCCCAAGCACGCGTGTACATGAAATAAAAGTTGAAATAAAAAAGCGACGAGAGAGGAAACGAGCGAGTTAGATGAAGAAGTAACAGATAAGGAGGCTCCGTGGATTCGAAGTAAAAGGGGAGTTACAGATTCCGTCAGTACTTGCTGTGCTAGCTAAATGATTGAAGCGTTTGGAAATGTTCTTGGTTTAGAAATCTTTCCTTAGGAGTGAATCCTTCAGAGAAATTTTATCGAATACTTTTATTCGAGTGTTATTATGTGAAAATTTTACTAAATGTTATCGAATAGTCGCAAACAAGGTTTAACGTTGATAAATTGCCAGAAATCTGTGACGAACTGTGGTGAAATGAATACGAGAATGATTCTTCGTTGAAATTGTATTATCTTCAGAATGGTTCCAAGATAAGGAATTTTGCAATAAAGGATGAAAGAATTTCGTGAAATAGCGTTAATCAGAGTAATTCGTGGTAAGATGTGTGCGTAGAAGGTTCGATGATCGTTGTCAGTGAAAAAGGGAAAAGTGTAAAACTGTGAAAATCAATTATTTTCAATCAGACAAGAGCAAAGTCCACAAAAACCTGATAACTCGAAGAGATTGCTGTCGCGGGAAAGCTAGATGTTCTTCCTTCGAGGATGACAAATACACGATTCTTATCTCTTTTTTTCCTCTGATACATCGACAAGATCGAGGGAGCAAGAAAATTTAAGAAGCCACTGACGAACATGCAAAAAGACGAAACGAAGTGAGTGAATTCAAGTGGCTGGTGGAATAAAAAGGCATAGGCGCGTATGAACGTTCCAGACATTGGGGAGGGTCGACATTAGATTAAGAATCATTTACATTACTGAAAAACAGAAATCCAGCATAATCCAATGCCTGTTTTCCAATAATCCAAATCCATATGTTTTGCAATAATTTAATAATCATGAATTAAAAGTCATAAAGTTTTCGTTTTATTTTTTCAGAACATATCACGACCGAGAAGCTCATTAATAAGGAAAAAGATGGACGATACTCTAATGAACGGCACTTTCAGCCTCACCTCGGAAGTTGGTCTAAACCACTTCCCTCGACCAGTTACAATCGCAGCTGCAGTTTGCGCGATAATTTTCAGTATCGTTGGAGTTGCCGGTAAAATTCTATTTTCTTCACTTCCGTTTCAGATTAATTTCTTCCATTCACAATTAATATTGTTCTGAATTGCAGGTAATTTGGTAACAGTGATCGCCCTGCTAAAATACACAAGACTGAGGCGACACGCAACGACCGCGTTCGTGATAAGCCTTAGCATCTCGGATTTGATTTTCTCCGCAGTGAATTTGCCATTAACCGCGAGCAGATATTTAAACGAGGCATGGGTTCTCGGTGAAACTCTGTGCAAAATATTCCCCCTGTTCTTTTATGGGAACGTGGCTGTGTCTTTGCTCAGTATGGTGGCGATTACGATCAATCGGTTTGTAACTCTGAATATATAGCAAAGACTTTTGTGATTCCATATATTAATTAAAGTTGAAATTCCAGGTACATACTGATATCGCGATCCGAAATCTACGCGCAGCTGTACACTACGCAACGGATCATCTTGATGTTAATCGCAATATGGACCCTCAGTTTCTCCTTACTTTTGCCTCCGTTGTTCGGTTTCTGGGGAACTTTGGGCTTGGAACCAACAACGTTTTCCTGCACCATACTCAAGAAGAACGGTACCAGCCCGAAGAAGTTTCTCTTCGTTCTAGGATTCATCGTGCCCTGCGTAGTGATAAGTGTCTCCTATTTATGCATCTACTGGCGCGTGAGGAAAAGCAGGAAGAATTTGAAGGCACACGCGGGTGTGTCGAGAAAGAAATCTGGAGGATTCCAGCGAAGAGAAGACTCGAGAGTAACTAGACTGATGTTGACGATATTTCTTTGCTTCCTATTGTGTTTCATGCCACTGATGCTGGTTAACGTGATCGACGACAAGATAAAGATCCCTATTTTACACGTGATCGCGTCTGTGTTAGCGTGGGCCTCGTCTGTCATCAACCCCTTCATTTATGCCGGTACTAATAAACTTTACAGAGAGGCCTATAAGCAGATCTTGTGTCCAGCCTCGGCAAAGACGCCGAACATGGGACCGAAACCGACCCATTCGCATTCGAGCAAGGTATCGACACCTCAAGTGACTTAACAACGATACAAATTGTTCATTGTAAATAGTAAATACGAGAAATATACGTCGATCGGTGCCATTCAGAACGGGAAAGATGTCTACCTGGACATCTTGATGTCCGTCGTCTAATTGTGACGAAAATGTGTAAATCAAAGACAATTATTTATTTTCCATCGTTTCTACTTTTCATACTCTTTAAAGTTTCTTCCTATTTACAAATTTCTTAATCTTCGATATCTAAATGATTTGGAAATTTTGCATGTGATTATTATATAAATGAGAAGAAATTAGTTTTAATTTTAAAATAAAAAAATTTGTAAAAAGAAATCGTATGTTCGTTATATTTCCATCCATATTTTCCACCTTATCCCCTGGCCGGTTTTTACGAAACCGGAGAAATAGAAATATTTCATGAATATCTCGTCACTCGTTTATACGCGACTTATGTTAGTTACAGAACTTTATCAAACATTTAGTTAACGCCGAGACACATGAGATAAGATGATGTAGGACAGAGGACTGTATCATACCTGTAACCTGTGACAGTAGGTCAAGGTATATGGGTCATAGCACCCTCATGCGGGTGGGCCATTGTCTTTTCTTGTCTGGTTATATGACTAATATTATCAACATCCTTGCCTTATTTAGACTTATCGCCAGGGTCAGATTGTTGCCATGATTTCAGTATTTTCACGGGCAAGATAAAGATGAAGTTGTATTTCGAAAACTCGATCGTATATACAAACGATTAAAATTATTTCCATAATTCATTATTTATTTATCAAAGTTTGAACTCTTTGTTGTTAGACTTGTATGACTAATTCGTAAGACTAAAGATAAAATATAGATGTAGAAAGAGGCTAAAACTACGTGTAAATTACGTTGCACTTTCGCGTACATGTTTGCCCCATAAACTATTGCATACATCGTTATTTCATTCGGCAAACCCGCTTACCGCGTAACCCGCCCGCTTTAGTATATTTACGTAAAGAAACATGCACTTTCTTACCGAGAAAGATTAATGAAATTAATTAATAAAAAATTTGTTCGATACAGTTTTCCCGATTTATCCGAAACAATAAGAACGAACTGATCGCTTACCTATTTCAGTGTAACAATTATAATTACAAATGTTATTGCGTAGCACTAGTCGCTCCGATGGAGTTACGAAACCTTTTGTAGTGATTGAAACAGCATGTAAAAAGTGATGGAACCATTGTATCACTCAGCTTAACACCAATTAGATATTTGCTTTAGCATTATGAATCTTAAAACAAGGGCAAGCAACTATTACATTGACCCAGTTTCAACCGCAATAGTAACCCAGTGAATATTTCCACGGTGTCGGGAACTTCTTGGAATCTTCTCTAATAAAACTTTTATTGCTTACACATACTTCACCCAGGATTGTTTCGTTGTTTCAAGAGATTTATCATTTTCCTCGGTATCTCTTGATACATTCAAAACACGAAGAATTTCACGGAAGGATACATACGTCGTTAATCTTTAGCTCCGCCAGTGAAACCTATTCCAACACGTTCCCTTGATGTCTCTGAAAACATTTCATCATTCTAAGACAACAGCAGAAGAGGTTCAAGGGAGGGAATGAAAACCTTTCGTTGACGAAACTGACATTGATCTAGTCTGTTGGATATCTGAAAGGAAGGAAGGAAGGACACGAAGAGAAGAGTGTCTGGTCGTTTAAGAGAAGTGAGAAGGAGATGGTCCGGGTTGACATTGGTCGTTGTTGGTGGTCGTCGTTCGATTGTGATGTATAGCGTCTCCCCTTGGTATACGTACACACGAACAGCGTTATTTTGCGAGTATATCCATATCTGTGTACAGGTGAGACAATGCTTCGTACACGAATATACTTCGACTGATTTAAAGGCTGTCGCATGCAACATCTGCCAATGCAAACGTACCACTCAAGGCTAACGATCCCCACCGACACCGGGCAGGGTTCTTCAATAGTTATAATTTACTATAAAACGGCAAAACAGCCACGGTACCTTTAGGATTTTCACGCCCGACGCAGGCACGTGCACCGGATCGAAAGCTCCCTGCTTTACCTGTCTACCAGTAATTCTACTGTTACCGTAATACGTAGCCGTGCAACAATGCAACGCAGATTGCTGTTATTACTGTGGATTACCTGTTTTACCTATGCGTCCCCGCTGGTGGTGAGTTATTACTAATTCTTACAAGGAACGACAGTGAAATTATTTCAATGAAACTGGTGTTTCCTATAATTTTCTTTTATTTTTGTTTATCTTTCGAGTAAAATATGGTATAAGTAAAGAAATGATCGGTTCCACCAACGATTGCTCTTCTTTTATAAAAGCTTGCAACATAATTGGAATTTTTCTATTTCTTTCCTATTCTGTTTCAGATACAACAAATCAGTGAAAAGAATTTGCCTTCGTCGAACGTTCAGGTGCACTATAATATCACGAGTGCAGAGATTAACAATTTCAAACCGATCGACGAAGTATCCTACATTGATTTCAATTCACCACCTTCGTTTCCCTCAAAGAGACCAAACGTCTGCAACAATTGTGGTAATTAAATTCGATTTACGCGAAAAGAAGATTCACCGTTTTCTTTAACAAAACATAATTAACTTTGACAAATGAACAATGTATTGCAGTGTGCGGGGTGGGCAGAAAAACAAGAATCGTCGGGGGTAACGTAACAAATATTTCTGAATATCCCTGGATCGTTAGCTTCAGTAAACAAGGTACATTTTACTGTGCTGGCAGCTTAATAACCCGGAGGCATGTACTCACAGCAGCTCACTGCTTGGAGGGGTGAGTAATAACATAAAGTAGACCTGTGTCAGGTAGAAGAGAAATTTATTGCACTTATCGCTGTGCGAAATGTAAAGTTTCCGATAGGTGCACGTGCAATAATTGCAGTTTCCAACACAAAAATGACACTGCAATTTTTCGTATCATACGAATATTCAACCGCAATGGAATGTTTATTATATTTGAAATATTAGGTTGTGTAATAAATTCCCGCGTTTTTTGTATTTTATTTTTTTCCCGCAATTTTGTGTTTTATTAGGTAAAGTATATATATGCATTCGCAAGTCCTCTTCTTGCTCTACAAACGTATCTGCTTTAATTTTTCGAATTAATTAATTTTAATCAAATTTCAGCCTTTTGAAATGGATGTATACTTTACCTAATAAAACATAAAATTGTGGGAAAAAATAAAATACAAAAAAGCGAGAATATTCTTTTCGATAGTATAGGTGACAGAATATATAGTGACAAAAGTAAACCATTTTAGATTTGAAACTAGAAGCATCAAGATCATATTGGCTGACAGTGACCGGCCAAATGTGGACAAAAATGCCATAATTCGACGCATTAAATCAGTGGCTATTCACGAAGACTTTCACACGTATACGTTCAACAATGATATTGCTATCGTCGAATTGGATCGTCCAGTGGATTTAAGTGGTATTGTTCGAACCGCGTGCTTACCCGAAGACAGTAAGTACATACTTCTAGCTTAATCGTAAAAGAGAAATGGAACCGATTGCAACACAAGTGCAGGAATTATAAAACACTTATTAGTGAAAAATTGTTCATTAATCCATATCATATTTTTCAAGAAAATGTATTATTTATTTATCTAGATAAACTTTTCAGATTTAATGTATCGTGTGATTGTGTAATACCAATTACAGATAAATAGTACAATAACATGAGCAATAATACAAATCAACAAAGGAAGGAAAAACTATTAACCAATTTTGCTTATTATAACGAATCATGAGATGTAAAATCATTCTCATGATTTATTCAAACGAAATATATATTTTGCAGAAGCCATTGATTATACCGGTGCAACGGCCACGGTAATTGGTTGGGGTCGAACCGGAGAAAATCAACCCGTAAGTGACGAACTTCGAAAGGTGAATCTTCCAATTTTATCACAAGAAGAATGCGACCAAGCAGGATACCAAAAACAACGAATCACTGAGAACATGTTCTGTGCTGGATACTTGGAAGGCGAACGTGACGCTTGTTTTGTAAGTATTTGATTAAATTCCAACAGAATTCTGTAAAAGACTTTCAAACGTATTTTTTAAAAAGTATAATCATGAATGCAAATGAAATCGTGTTATTTTAAGGGTGACAGTGGTGGTCCTCTTCACGTGAAAGGCACGTTTGGACATTTAGAAGTAATAGGTAAGACTAGAAATTTTGAAGGAATATGCAGTTGCATTTAAATTGTAAATATTTAATTACAGGTATTATTTCGTGGGGTCGTGGATGTGCAAGGCCGAATTTCCCAGGAATTTACACAAAATTAACCAATTACCTCGGATGGCTTAAAGATCACCTGGACGGTGAATGCGTGTGTCCACCACCTCGTCGCCAATAAATCTTTGTTCTGAACGTATTATCCGTATAAAGTATCGGTAATAACCAGTAGGATAATCAGTATTAAGTCAAAGTACATTTTATAATTTATTTCATTAGACGATCTCAAGTGCATTCATATCTGTTTTATTATCCCGACGTGTTATCGGTGGATGTATTTTGTAAATAGTTGCGTAACATATTTCATTGTAATTAATTTATTATAATCGTTAAATCATTGCACGTAATTTACATACTCTAGTCGAATATATAAATAGAAAAAGTTCCAACTTTGTGATGTCACATTTCCTGTACAAAACAGCTATTGAATAAAAAATATATTTAAGTATAATTTGATGTTTTCTCTTGTAAAAATTATTTATCCCTATCTTGTGAATTATGCATACGAAATCATTGGGGTTTAAGTTAACATTCTGTTAATTTCGAATTTGTTTAAAATAATGGTCATTAGAAGGATGTCTTAAAAAAGGGAGAAATGGAGTTAGATCGTTAGATCAATCATTGTCGATCGCCGATCAAGATGAGCAAGGAATGACAGAAACCAGGTCAGTAGTCAGAAACGTTTTGCTTTCAACGGTGAATGTGGGTTAGTGAAACCTCCAGCCTGTTACCAACGATTTCTGACTCTTCCCGAATTGAAACAGGAACAGTTCTTCAGTAAAATCAACTTCATGAATACTGTAAATGCCTCAACGTACTGAACACTGTTACGATATGAAAGTCAAACAGATACTGAGAAAGCTTACAGTTAACAGAGTGGCAGTTACTAATTAATCGTTACGTGACTAGTAGATGAAATGCAAATACTTAGGTACTTTACAGTTCTTATAACGTCAAGTAATTTTAACATTAGGAGTTCAGAAAAGATGAACTGTAAATACGAAATAACAATGGTGGTAGAACAACTAGATTCTAGAAAACGATCGTTAAGATCGCTAATCAACGATGGTCACGTGACATGAATCCTGAACCTCCACCATCTCGCTAATTTTAAATCGAAAGGATTATGTGTGATCAGCCTCGCATACTGAATGGGAAGAGCAACAGGATAGTGAAAGAACTTTCTTCGCAAGAGTTGAACATTTGCCGTGCTCTGTTGGCCTGCCAGTCTGGTGTCTTCGTAGAAGGACGGTGAAAGCGTCTGATACACGGTACTAGCCTCTCTCGCAGCCTTTAGATGAAGTTTAAAGACAAAAGGTGAAGGACGTTGAGAATCAGCGGAAGGTGTGTGCGCGAACATGTGATAGAATGTGCGATTATGAAAAATTCTTTGAATGGATCAAGTGTTTGGGAAGATTCATCGATGAGAAGAAGAAGAAATTCGATCGTAATCCTTTGAGTTGACGACTGATCAGAAAATGTGTCCGCGAAGCATATTTCGGAAAACTTGGATCTGTGCTTTAATCCTAATCCTTTCTTCAACTATAGGGAGTTTGAATGTCAGAAGTCGACAGAATAATTTAAACTTCGCTACTGATTATGCTGTAAGTGGGAAATTGAATAATCTATAACTGTTCAGACTCGACAACTGATAAATCATCGATAACCAAAGTTCTGATTGATAAATCAGATTCCCTGTATGGAACACACTTTCCTCCATATTTCGGATCATTGTTACTTTCTCCGGCTGCCCCTTTCGTTTGCGATAGAAAGTGAGCGTACTACCAAAGATGATTTTCTTTCAGACGACGAATTCAACTAACTATCGAAAGAGCAAATTTCTGTTCGATGAATTATTTGGTCTCGATATAGACAGCAATGTGGATGATAACGAAACATTGAGAAATTGTTCGTGCGGTAAGATGAAATTATTAACTCCTTAAACTCTTCTTAAAATATTTAAACTAATCAATTTTCAACCAAACACAGAATGCGGTGTGTCTAATCAAGAACATCGAATCGTTGGTGGAAAACCAACAGCCCCTAACAAATATCCTTGGGTAGCGCGCCTAGTGTACGAGGGTCGCTTTCATTGCGGGGCCAGTCTTGTTAATAATGATTATGTACTTACCGCGGCTCACTGTGTACGTAGGTAAGTTCCTAGTCTTCCTCAATGGTCGGATCAAATAAGAATCGGTAATCCATTTGTCGTCTTTAAATGAGAAGATTTTGCGTTGAGACAGGATTCACCTAAAAGAGGAAGGATTAATGTAGCGAGCTCTGATGGTGATTCGAGAGTGTTCTAGTTTCAAAAATGTACTTTCAGATTGAAACGTTCGAAGATACGTGTAGTACTTGGAGATTACGATCAACACATCAATACCGATGGACGTTCTGTGATGAGGGCAGTAAGCGCCGTAATTCGTCATAGAAATTTTGACATGAATTCGTACAACCACGATGTCGCGTTATTGAAACTTCGGAAATCTGTTAAGTTTTCTAAAACTATTAGACCAGTATGTTTGCCACAAACAGGTAAGAGCATTCGATTACTTTGAAAATCTTACTTACTTGTAATCTAGCATTAGGAGAACACAGCACCTATGAAAATAAATAAAAAATAGTTAGCACATGAAGCAAGATTTTACGTGAATTTAGGAATTATATTAATATCTATAGGTACTGACCCAGCTGGTAAAGAAGGAACCGTGGTTGGTTGGGGCCGGACATCGGAAGGAGGTATGCTAGCCGGACAAGTTCAGGAAGTACAAGTACCGATATTAAGTTTAACCCAATGTCGTAAAATGAAGTATCGAGCGAATCGAATTACAGACAATATGATTTGCGCTGGTCGAAATAGTCAGGATTCTTGTCAAGGTGATAGTGGTGGTCCATTGCTTGTGCAGGAAGGCGACAGACTCGAAATAGTTGGTAAGAAATTGGTAATTAACGTTATACTTATTAATGTTAACATTAATCATCGAATTGATACAGGAATAGTTTCCTGGGGTGTTGGATGCGGAAGAGCAGGATATCCTGGGGTATACACCAGAGTAACGAGGTACCTGAAATGGATAAATACAAATATGGAAGATGGATGTATATGCACAAATTAATTAATATTTAAAAAATTAAAAAATATGCTCATTCCGATATTTATGTAAAATAAGGTATTTATTTAGATTAGTTATTAACTTAACGATTCTGAATGCGAATGAAATATTTATTTGCAGAAACGAATCATATTGATAATTGCTAAAATTGAAATAATTGTTGTCCCAACTTGTAAGTCAAGGAAGCTACTGTATAGTTATTTATTACATTGTAATTATTGAAATCGTATACAATACGAGATACTGTAACGGTACATGTACATAATATAGTAGTATATTTCAATGAAACAAATAAATTTTTTATATTTTAAAAATTTAGTATTTTTTTCTGACTATAAACTACTACTAAAAAAAATGAAATTTCAACGATTAAAACGAATCGTTGAAGAATCCACCGTGACCCTGATGACGGTCAATAACAGTCACCTGTAATTCGACCCTGAACATGAACCTGAAGTGGTCAGGTACTGTCCAGTCGCCAACCAGTCGGCTATGCCCTCCTTCTCTTCTGGAATAATAATTACCTATTCGACCTGAGTCGTTCTCAGTCGCTACGGGACATTGGTGATGTCCTAACCAGGAATATGTCAGTAACCCTTTCCTGACAGTGTCCGCGTGGTAATATTTTCATGATAAACCTGTCTTCGAAATTGAACGTGCAAAACCTCGTTAAAATAAAACGTGATATAATTAGATCGTAAAAAAAATGAAATCCTCCTGGTGCTTTGGATTATTGGCTGTTCTAATTTTCACCACAGTGGCTTGTCAAGTAAGATCATCTGTAAAGTAAACTTTGATAATTATCCTAAAAATGAGAAATTATTCAGATAAAAAATAATAGAATAAAAAATAAAATAAATTTTGTACTCCTTTCTCTCAAATCCATCGTCACTTTATATACTTTTTCCAAGTGTAATTTCTGTACTCAGTTCACGTACATTTAAATTCACTGCAAACGAAGACTATATACATTCAATTAAAAATAATTCAAGCTTCAGTTCGAATCAGGATAATATAATACAGTAGTAATTAAAATTTGTATTTTAATGGGACTATTTTCATATTTAAAATTTTTAGGCAAGCACGTTAGGTGAAAAAGTGAAAAATTTTTTTGGGATCTTTGGTAACAAACCACCGTATTCTGTAGAAGCACCTGGGCCATGTTATTGCAGTGAGTACAGATATCTACTTTTATAAATAATAGTGCAACTTTTTAGTGATTCACTATTATTTAATAACATTTAATTATTACGATGTAATATTAAACGAGGTAAACGATTAATTATTGGAACACCTAGACTGCGGACTGCGAAACGAGGAAAGTCGAATAGTTGGAGGTCAAACAACTCGTATGAACGAATTCCCATGGATGGCAAGGTTATCGTATTTGAATAAATTTTATTGTGGTGGAACTTTAATAAACGATCGCTATGTCCTCACTGCTGCTCATTGCGTCAAAGGGTAATTATGATTTAAATTAAGTGGAAAAAAAAACCATTTTCCTTTTAAGGATCAACAGAAACTTGACAAAGAAAGGAATTATTTAAATTAAAACTATTTTTTATGTCATTGTTTCTAAGAAAAGTGTAATCAGTTAGCCCAGTCCTATTTTCAGATTCATGTGGTTCATGATCAAAGTCACCTTCGGCGAACACGACAGGTGTATCGAAAAGGGAGCCGAAACTAGATACGTAGTCAGAGTACTGACAGGTGATTTTAGCTTCCTCAATTTTGACAACGATATCGCCCTATTGCGGTTAAACGAGAGGGTACCTTTAAGTGACACCATAAGACCTATATGTCTACCATCTGTAAGAGGTGAGATTTCTACATATTATTCATTTCCTTAGTTATAAACATATACCGGATGTTAATGTTGCAGATAATCAATATGTCGGGACAAAAGCAATTGCATCCGGCTGGGGTACGTTACACGAGGACGGAAAGCCATCTTGTCTTTTACAGGAAGTCGAAGTACCGGTTATGAGCCTTATGGACTGCCGTAACACTAGCTATAGCCCTCGCATGATTTCTGATAACATGATATGTGCTGGATATCTTGATGGCAAAAAGGATTCTTGTCAAGTATTTAACTTTATACTGTCGCAAAAAATATAGCGTGCAAGATCATACCTTTTTCCTATTTCAGGGAGACAGCGGAGGACCGCTCATAGCTGAACGCGAAGACAAGAAATACGAACTAATAGGTGTAGTATCGTGGGGTAATGGATGCGCCCGGGAAGGATATCCTGGTGTTTATACAAGAGTCACACGATACATAGATTGGATCATTTATCATTCCCGAGAAGGATGTTTCTGTGATCAAAACTAAATGCAATAGTTGCGTGTACTTAGGCAGTACAGGAACAAGAAAAACCAAACCGTTGCTTTTTTATAATAAATTATTCTGTAAATCCTCCCGAATAAAGTAACCTATTACTTCCAAGTTGAAAAGAAAAATTTAAATACGTACCATAAAAATAATGCGATGTATGGTGTAATGCACAAATAACGAGCTACAATTAAAAATACATTTGTTGATATTAAAAATTCAGTTCAAAGTAATAAAATTACAAGGTATTAATTCAAATGTTACAAATATTTAGTTATTTCATACTGCAGTTAAATACTATTTTACTTGATAACGGTGGATTCTAATGTGGTAACAACTAAATATTAACAAGCAATTAATTTCTTAGAAACGAACTTATATAATAAAAGTATACTTGAATATAAAATATGTTACATGAGTGCTATTATGCACTTTAAAGTATCTGATATATTACATATATTAATATATGACATGGGTGACATTCGCGTTACACTGTGAAGTAACTGCCTCTTCTAATGTACAATCTAGCTTACGATAATTAGCTGTGCTTGGTCGTCGTCTACCACGATTATTTCGCGATCTTCGTCCTTCCAGTACAATAGCTAGTATCTATAATATCAAGATATTAAAATAATAAGCACAGATAGTAAACGATAGAAACCTCATAAACAACCGTATAAAACAAAAATATACCTTTTGTTTATTATGATAACCTATATATGCTGCTATGGAGATCAGGAAAACGAGTGTAAAGTAAGTAAAAAAATGAGACTCTTCATCTGATCTTCTACTATGATAATGAGATATAATATCCCTTTGTTCTGAAGGTTCAGGTATGTTTTGATTTTGATCAACTGCTATAAAAGTATATAATAAACATTAATAATTGCTGAATATTAAAAATTTAGTTTATTATATGATATTTTACCCGTATCAAGAAGACGAAAAGGTCCATCATTTGGATCTGAAAAAATATATACAATTTAAATATACACAAATTATAAAAAATGTTAAACCAGTCTAAATTGTATACCATATTGATTAACAGAGTTATCATGATCCTGGGTATTTTCTGATATTGTACTTGTTTTAATATCAGTAATATCTTTTTTGTTTTCTTCAATGTCATTCATATCATCTGGAATTTCAGGTGTTTTATCTTGATTTTCAAGTGTTTTATCTGCATTCTCAGATATTTTATCTACATTCTCAGGTGGTTTATTTGGATTCTCAGGTGTTTGATCTGGATTCTCAGGTGCTTTATCTAGATTCTTAAGTGTTTTATCTGGATCCTCAGGTGCTTTCTCTAATTTCTCAGGTGCTTTCGCTGATTTCTCGGGTGCTTTCTCTGATTTCTCTGGTGGTTTCTCTGATTTCTCAGATACTCGATTCTCAAAAACATTTTTCTTATTATCAACTGATTCAGATTTTGTGGAAAATTTATCCTTTGCATTCATCTGAGGCAATGTATGTACTAAGTTTGGCAATGATGGTTTCATTGAACTTTGTTTCTTTTGTTGAATATCAACACCCTTTGTTGCTGTTTTTTCTGGTGTTTTATTTAATTCTGAATTTATATTCTTAGACTCAGATACTCCAATGTTCGTTGGTAAATGTTGTAACTGTGTCTGTTTAGGTTTATTCACATTTTTTATATATTCATCAATACTTTTACTCCACGCTAATACTACGCAAAGTGGATTAAAATTTTCTTTTATATCAAAACACGTTGAATCACATACATTAGATTTGTCAATGTGTATAGGTGATAACAATGGTTTTAATTTTTTATATGTAAATGTAACACTTTTAATATTTTCACAGAACATTGTTTCATGACCTTTTGTAGGAAGAAATTTCTCAATGTATGGTTTGAATTTAATACTATCAGATGGTATCTGATGAGAAGTATTAGAATTACAAACTTTATGCCATGTATCATAAAAGGCTAAGCATAAAAAAGTATTTGGATTATTACTTGTTATATTTTTATCAGGATAATTTAAAGAAGAACAATCCTTTATAATATCATTTTCATACACAAATGGTGGCAAAGTACATAGTTCTGTATCATTTTTCATGACGTTTATAATATTTTCAGTTGTTGATTTACTTGCTTCACTTAACACTTTTGTAAAAAAAAGAAAGTAGATTAAAACACCAAGCTCGTAGAACGAACGAGCTATACGCTTTCCCATTATTTACTCTATTCACTAAGTCAATCTGTTATGTCACTTCTGATTGCCTGAGCTGTTTTTTCTCGAAATTTAATATCTTTTCTAATTTTTACGTTCTTACTAAACATAACCTTTCACGATCAAATTTGTTTGACGCACCACTCAACATGTCAAAGAATTTTAGATCAGCGCCATCTGTTGTCTTGAATTTCTGCCTCGAGAACGAATGCTCTTCTCTATCCTAGCAGTGACTATAGATCTATAGTCATTGATCCTAGTGCAAAAATATGAAATACTTCGCACTGCAACAATCTAACGTAACATCAGTTAAGGTGATTCGAGCGTCGAGGCTGAACTTCGAATTCCGCGTCAGTAAAACAGTCAACGTTTCATCGAAAATTAGGCCGAACAGAAACTGATTTAAGCGCCACTATTGCGTCTACCTTTGCGTATCAAATAACTTCGTTCTTTCTAAATTCCATATTTTGTGATTTTCTTTTTATTTTATTTTTAACCGACTTCGAAAAGAAGGAGGTAATTAGTCATTTGTAATTAGTCAAAAATCATACAAGTTCCTTATTCAGGAACTATAAAATTATTATAGTTATACGTTCTATATGGTAATATTGCAATCCCGAAAATACTTTTCTGAATTTAAACTATTGTTTTCCAATTAAATCTATTATAGTAGCTCTTTTTATAGTAGCTCTTAGCTTGATATCGCTTTCTAAAAGTTATCTTTAGAAAACGATATCAATTACCAGGTCACACCACGTGGAGGTGGCTACGTTAGTGACCCACCCTAAAATCATAAGAACGTCAAACCATTCAAAACAGACAACATAAAATAAAAATGTAAGCAATACAATCTTAAAATAGAAAATAAAATGTACATCCTAATATCAGAAACAATTGAGAAAATAAAAATAATTTAACAATAAAATGCTGTAACGGAAAACATAATTATTAGGATCAAATATACAATAACATGAAACCATCCAAAAGAGACAACATAAAATAAAAATTTAAACAATACAATCCTGAAATAGAAAATAAAATTAACATCCTAATATTAGAAACAATTGAGAAAATAATAATAATTTAACAATAAAATGCTGTAACGGAGAACATAATTATTAGGATTAGATATACAATAACGTGAAACCATTCAAAACAGACAACATAAAATAAAAATTTAAACAATACAATCTTGAAATAGAAAATAGAATTAACATCCTAATATCAGAAACAATTGAGAAAATAACAATTCAACAATAAAATGCTGAAATAGAAAATATAATTAACATCATAATTTCTGTAACAATTAAAAAATAATTCAACAATAAAATGCTGAAATAGAATCATAATTTCGATTACAACTGAAATGAAAAATGCTGAAACAGAATATATAATTACCATTACAATCTCAAGGTAGGTTTTAAATAAATAGAACATAATTAAAATAAGAACATGAAATATAATTGATGTGCAAATCAATAAGAAAAGAATAATTTATTTCAATAAAGCAATAAACGAAAAAGAAATAGCGGATATAAAATCGCGAGTTGACCATTCAACGAGCTGGGTATTGAACTCGTAAAATGTCGAGTTCAATACGTCCTGGACGGTATTATTCATACCGTTCAAGGAAAAACACAAAAAATGAAAAAACAAATTAGCGAGCATAGTGACAGAATGACTGTCCATCCGAAGATGGAGAGCCATTAGTAGTTCCCCTCTTCTGGGCAAATTTTGCCGGGGCTCTTCAGCATATAGCCTCTTCTTTCTTCGGCAATAGCCTCACAAAAATCACTCGCGAAAATTTTACGTTTGCTCAGACATTTGTGAAAACGTAACACGTAAACGAGCAACAATCCCTTGAATCGCTACTCGCATACCTGCACAATTTTTGCAAATGTCCAAGCACAAAACACTTTTTAATTTCACTTCACTTCACTTCACTGCACTTTCACTTTAATACTTCATTTTTGTAATCGGGTCTAGTACCACGACTACGACTTACAAACTAATAAGGCTTGGCCTTGAAAAAATCAAGAGAGAATGCTAAATTAATTAATTGATAAATTAATTAAATTGCATTTTCATCTTTTCTCTTGATTTTTGGTTTCCCAACCCCAGATACAAGCTTCTCACGTATTAGAGGAGAATACGAAGAGAAACATGAAAGCTTGCTCTGGCCCTGCCTACTTATAAACTAAACTCAATCACACCAGAAGTAAACTACCTGCCTGCCTATCGCTATATTTAAAAAAGAGCAAAAATCATTCTCACAAAAATTCACTCCACGGTTCTCATACAACCACCCGGGTGCAAAAATGCCTACACCTAGAGAGAACGTCCCGGGACGCCTCCGACACCCGAGTTCAATTCAACTTTCACACTCTAATAAAATCATACCTTTTTGCTGAAATCGACTGACAAATAATAGTGAACATTATGCTAAACTACTACATTTCATTTTCGTATTCTATTGAATTATCTAATGTAAAAATTTTTCAATTTATTCTTGATAAGTATTTTGTAATGTTATAGTAAGTTAACATTGTTAATAAACGATACAAATCCCACATCCTAACCACACACACACATGTGGAACTTCTATCGTGGTTCACTATTGGTTCACTACTTTTGTCAGTCGCCAAAATGTATTACACTTAAAACTAAACCTTGCCCACCGCCCTCCACCCACGCGAGTACATCTAAGTACCCGAATGAGCTTTGGGCATAAAAATGAACAAGGCCAAAGGTATTTTCACCTACCAGTTTTCTTCATGTGTGCTGAAATGCCTAAGCTAAAACGTATGATTAGCAAAAACTAAAGATGATATTCTCACTTTATTAAAAGTAAGAATATCGGCGAAATTTCATGGCTCCGATTTAGGATATGGGCTGGCCCCCCCAGGGGGTTTTATTTCTAATAAAAGTGACTCGACTATGCAAATATAAAGCTTGAAGAACAAATACAGAAAAGCAAAATTGAGCAACTATGACATAAAACATGGTGCACTGCTAATATCAGTTGGCAACGGAGGTTCTTAGGCCCCCTGGACTTGCGCCCGACGCTACATACCACCCACCCCGCCTGGACGTCGTAACGCCAGGACAGAATGCACCCCTTCGCTAAGAGCGCTACCCGCCCGTCCAACACGTTGCATCCAACGTGTCAGATTGACGGACGCCCATAGTATAGACAAAAGGACTGCAGTTTATTAAATGGAACATATGGATGTGCGCCACATTCTAAACTGCGCCTTGAAAGGCCTAGTAATGCATGGTTTTATCTCCCATGAGATGGTGTTCACGGTCTTATGCCGCGGAATCCTTGTAACTAATTTGATTAATTAAATAAAACATTGAGTTCAAAAACCAAAAGGATTCCCACCGAATACTAGTAAGTGCATCGTCATATTTACTCTCGCGTTATTTACCGCAACACTAATTAAAATAGAAAATCCTGATCTAGCAACATGACTAAAGGGGAGCTTTAAATTATGCTTGAAGAGCAAATACTGAAAAGCAAAATTGAGAAAATATGACTCAAACATTCGTCCACTGCTAATATCAGCTGGCAACGGAGGTTCTTAGGCCCCCTGGACTTACGCCCGACGCTACATACCACCCACCCCGCCTGTTTAAGGCTCTAGGCCCCGGCAGGGTGCACCCCTTCGCTAAGAGCGCTACCCACTCACCGAACACGTTGCATCCAACGAGTTCGAGTGGTGGACGCCCATAGTATAGGCAAAAGGACTTTAAGACAGCTTAGCGTATGGGTTGCAACATACTTAAATGTTCCGTACTCTATGGCTGTGCCTGCAAAGGCCTAGTAATGCATGGTTTTATCTCCCATGAGGTGGTGTTCACGGTCTTATGCCGCGGAATCCTTGTAACTAATTTTATCAAATAAAAACCAAAAGGATTCCCACCGAATACTAGTCAGTGTATAGTCATTTACTCTCGCGCCGGAAATTTTTCGCAACACTACTTAAACTTGAAAATTTTAACAGTGTAATATTTACTCTCGCGTTGATAATTTTTCGCAACACTACTTAAACTTGAAAATTCTAACGGGGTAATATTTACTCTCGCATTGAAAATTTTTCGCAACAGTACTTAAACTTGAAAATCCTAACTGGGTAATATTTCACTACACAAGGGTATGCGAGTGGATAAATGATTATGTGATAGAGTTCGTGAGGCTGAGGTGTGAATGATAAGTGTTTAGGACCGAGAACCGTAAACATAACCACCCCCCTGGAGGGGGGGGCCAGCCCATATACTAAACTTATGCCAATTTCACGAGTAAAATCGGAAGAACGTTTCAATTTCAAGAGCAATTTCGTTATCAAAGTAAGTAGTTGGAATAATTAAAAGTATTCATGCTTATTACTTTGATATTGAAATCTGCTCATCGCGAAATAAATTCTTGTACATATAAAAAAGAAGGTGTATTCTGAAATCGGAGGGTCATCCGACTTCTCTACACTTTTAAACTCGAAATCTATATATGTAAATATGTACAAGAAAACCCTATCCTGAGCTAAGGCATAAAATACACAAAAAAGCAATTTGCACGATTATCATTGTATAAAATGATACAGTGATATTCGTGGGTCACTATGCTCGCTCAAAAAATAAAAATTACAACCAATTCCCGTGTCGCTACGGACCATTCGTCCTACGACATGATGGGAACCGGAGGAACTTTAAAGCATGCGACTCACCGATCGTTGACTTGCATCACTGTACTCGCCACGCATCTTATTGTTACATTGACCCATAGCTTGTCTGTTGGCTCATTAAACAAACGGTATCCCCACTGGCCAAAGCACTCGTCTAAAAGCATAAAAATCACGATTCTTGAACGATATATATTTTCTCTCAATTTGTTGTAGTTAATATGCTAATACATAGGATAATTCAAAAATATGCATGCAAAACTATATGGGAATAACTACACCATAAAACACGGTAAAACACATGCAAATACATCCCAAAACACTTGAAGATCAAAACCATAGAACACTATAAAATATTTGCAAAATTATAGTAAAAGACATAGGGTACCAATCCATAAAACCTACTAATAAATCCGTATAAATATGCCAAAACACAAAGGGTACTACTCCATAAAACCTACTAATAAATCCGTATAAATATGCCAAAACTCAAAGGGTACTACTCCATAAAACCCACTAATAAATCCGTATAAATATGCCAAAACACATAGGGTACCACTCCATAAAACCCACTAATAAATCCGTAAATATATGCCAAAGTACAAAGGAAACCACATCATAAAACACAATAAAGCACATGCAGGTACATGGGCTACCACACCACACAGCACACTAATGCACTTGTATAAAAATGTCAGAACACATGGGTGACCACACCATAAGACACACTAATATATCCGTATAAATATTCCAAAACACATGGGAAACACTATAGGAAACACCATAGGCACACATAGAAGCACTTGTGGTAACACACTAATAAATCCATGCACGAATATCCATAGTGTCAACCCGTACCGGTATATGTTTGGCAGTTCCATCCGTATCCTTCGGCGGTCGCGATAAGACTGACTAGATTTGACCTTCCTCCAGGTCGCCGATGTACCGGCGCGCGACGCGCCCAATCAAGCATGACGTTCCGCTTCACCGGTTCCGCGGCCGGTTACATTTAACTACTTCTATCTGATATTTGTTAACATTTGTTTAATTATTATTTTTAATTTTACAATTGTTTATTAATCAAACGAACGAACTGCGCCCTACAGAATGAACGAGAAACTAAATTTGTGGTCTGTTTTACCTTGTTGACATCTTTCGCGAATGAACAGTCAACGAAATCGTAGTTTTCGGTTTTTGTCTAAACGAAAGCTTGTACACCATCCCCTGGGTGCTCGTTTTGCTCTATCCGACCCAAAGAATGGCGCTCTGGTCTCTATTTGGACATTCGTTTCGCAATAATGTTCATATTACAAATAAATTAATGCAGGTGAGTCCGATCCGCCATTTTCTTGACTGTGGACAGACACAAATTTCAATATTTTATAACTTTTTGACGATTTGAGTAAAATAAGGACCAGAGCGCCATTCTTTAGGGCCTTCTGGACACGTCCCTCAAATTTTTTTGCATTCTGTTTAGAAATGACGACGAAAATCGAAAACTGGCGTCTAGGGATTTTTCTAGGGACTGTCGGTAAAGTTTTCGACGCTCGCATCACCTTAACGATAACAACAGATTGCTTCAATACCAAAGATTATACCCCATCTCGAGCTCAGCGTTAATATATTTCATCGTCAGTAACAAAGCATGTCCAGTCTTCTTGTATCTGTAGTCATTGGGGGATGTATTCCTTCATTTCGATCGTCTCGTCATCTATACTAAAGTGGCACAAACTACTCAACGATTTACCGATCGATTTTAAGAAAGAAAAGGGGCTAAACTTCCAAAAACCTCCATGCTCCGAATTGGCTCAAATTTTGAAAATAAATTCTTTTTTGATAAAAATGATAATTGCGAGAAGGATTTTTGGCGACTCGAAAAAAAATTTGTTATCGCATATCTACGCTTTCTGCAAAGCCATAAAAAATCAATAGACATAATTTGACATTCGTGGCCGGCCGCCTTTTGGCGGCCGGGATATTCGTCTGACCTAACCCAACCTAACTCACTGAAAAGTTTTATTGATATGCGGAATATACTTATATAATTTATATCATCAAGTAATTGATGATACATTGTAATACTAGTATTCTTGATACATCGATACCTTTTAAAAAACAATTGAAAATAGCAGATTTCACAGCATCAGAACTAAGTAAGTACTTACTTACTTTCAAATCTGTTTCAAGTATTCCTGCCGTTATATTTGCGTCGGTAAAGTAGGGAAGGACACCCAAATGATGACAAATTTTTTCTCGAGTTGCCAAAAATCCTTCTTGGAATTATCATTTTTATTAAAAACAAACTTATTCCCAAAATTTCAGCCAATTTGGAGCATGGAGGTTTTCAGAAATACAACCAGAAAAGGCATCTCAGTTGGTAAGTTGTTGAGTAGTTTGCGGCGTTTTTGTATAGATGGCGGTGGGATCGAATTTTAAAAATAATTTATGGCGGTCTTTTTAAAATATAAGTCGCAGATCTATCTTCACTTAGGGGTGTTTGAGACACCCTAAATCGTGACCTCTCAAGAACAAAAGCATGTCCAATCCTTTTGTATCTGTAGTCATTGATAAAATGCAACCGTATTCATGGCTGTACTATGTAATATGGTAGTACTCTCCTGGATCGTCTCTATTTTAGCCTTCGCTCTTACTTTATCAAAATATTATAATCTAGAAATCTGTGTTATTTCTCTCGTGACCGTTCATGATATTCGACCATCGATTTGTCAGTTTAATGCGTGATTTCATCTGTGTGTGAAGTGAATAGATATATACACAGTGGGAAGTGTTAAAGGAAAAAGGAATGGCTAAGTGTAATAAAAAAAAGTGGAGCTCGAGACGCGTTTCTATAAAACAAAAGATGCAGAATTTGAGACGACAAAAAAATGTACTGCGGCATAAGATGGACAACATGTTAACACCAAGTATGAACGTATTTAATAATCAAAAATATCGTTTTGCGTGATAGGATCATTTTAATATGGCGGAAAATAGTAAAGCGCAATAAATACAGCGCTGCTATCGTGGTATTTTCCGAAGTTCGATTTACCGTGTTTGGCTTACGCGCCTGGCGCCTAATGCATGAAATTTTTTTATTATTCATTTGTTTTCGGTATAGTAACCTCTGATAATGAAAATGTACTTCAATAATTTAAGATATTTTAAAATGCTTTTACATGCTGTGCCACACTGTAAGAGTAGCAAATATAAAAATGTAAAAAAAATTTCAACTTTTTAAGCGCCAACTGATGAAACTCTGAGGGAAAAGTGGAGCATGTCCATTCCAGGAGTGGAATTTTTAAGATCGAATCAACGCGTGTGTGAATTTCATTTTGAGGATCGTTTTTTAATCAAAGAATATAAAAAACATGATCACAGTGATAATATTATAGCACAGGTAAGATTTTAAAAGAGAATTTTGTAATAACGTAAATTTTAGTTGAATTATTCTTTTTTCTCGTATTATGTATTAGTATAATAATTTGCATAAACTAACTTAAGAATTTCAAACTTTATTAGGTTCCTCTTGCACATGCTCATTTAGAGAAAGGTGCTGTGCCAACAATATTTGACCACACTTATGGATCAAAACGTGTTCCTAATGCTGTAACTATAGACCATACATATGCATTACCACCATGTGAGTTTAAGTCAGTATTTTTTATGATATTGCAAAAATAGATTTAAGTTTTCATTTAAACATATTCACTTGTTGATTTCATTGTATTTATTTACCAATAATTTATTTTAAATCTACAGGCTCCTCCCACCCAGTGATAAAGGTTGAAACTGAAGATGTTAATATAAATACCAATGATGAACGTATGTTTGTAAAGTATATTTTGTGAAATTTTAAAAATAGAAGAATAATATGGATAGTTATTAATGTAATAATTATTAATAGTAACTGTTAATTGTTTGTATATTAACAGAGTTACTAGATCCATCAAGAAAGGATGAATTACAGAGTGAAGATTTATCTCCAAAAATTGATACAAATTTTGTGTCCACTCAGTTTCAATGTTTTACTTCTACGTCTTCTGACATTCACACTAATGTGGATTTTAAGTGTAAGTACTCTGTTTTTTATATATTGATTAATTCTGAACTAAGGTATACAACTCATTAGGTGAGAATGAAATACTGAGCGAGGACGTGGAAATAAAGCATGAATGTTCAACAAATGATGATTTACAATCTCAATCGATAGCGAATGATAATCCGCAAGAGGACACGAATATGTACAAAAATTCTGAGTGTGTTTGGACCAGTGTTGTTTTTGACTCTATTTCATTCAAATTAAGATCTCTAAGTAAGTATGATTAATATTATGTTCAAGTTTGTTATTACGAGTAATTTGCGACTGATGCAAACATAATTTATATGAATTTCTTTTTTAATAGCTGATGGTGGTTATGAGGACAATTCATGTATAAAACTGCCAAAACCGTGGAACGTGAATAAATTACCGAATGGATCGGAAGAAACTCTTTTATTCACATGCATTGTACAGAACGAAGAATACGGAATTCAAAAACATATTCTTGAGAAAGCCGTCATAATTAAGGCATCTAGAGAAATAACTTATGAAGTTTATTCTACACCTGTTGATGTTAGTTGTGCAAAACTTCCAACATTTTTAAAAGAGATTTCAAGATTGCCAGAGATATTAAAAAAGTTTAAGGATTTACGTATTTGCCAAGGTATTATGCCTGTAGACATAGATTATGTACAAGATAAAGCTGATTTCAGAAAAGACATCTATTCAAATTTACGTCATAAAGATTGCTCTATTTTATCGATTAATAGCAAAAGATGCGCTGTTTGCAAAAAATCTTCTAAAACGTTATCACAAAAAGTTAAAAGAATAAGAAACAGAAAGAACATACAGCGTATATTTAATTCCGTAAATCTTCTCGATCAAATGAAATTTAAAGCTTTAAAAAAGAAAATTAAGTTTCGTGCTGCGAAAACTTATTGTTTAAAAAAGAGATATAAGTCACTAACCGATTCCTTACAAAATCAGCAAAATAAAGTTACTATCATCACAAATAAATGAACTCTGGTATTCTGATGAATATCAGATACTAAAGTTACTATAAATTCTTACGGAAACATGATATCGTCCGTTGGAAATGCTCTGTTATTTGAGTCGGAAATGCTCCAATAGATCCAAGATTATCTAGAAGGCATGCACAGATAGATAATCTAGCCAAAATTCGTACGCGTTTTCTAACTCAGGTAAAATATATTCATATCTATTTCTATATAATGATAATTTTTCAAAATTATATATCATAAATGATTTTTTATAAAACCATTCTGCAGGACGGAGCAAAAACCACGAATACCAGACATCGTGTACCGGAAACGCCTTACCCCACTTCCCGTTCAGTGTCGTGCACCATCTGTCGGAATATCAATGAGGAAGAAGTTTTACTGTATATTCTTGTATATAATAATTCCGATAATATTTATATCTTTTTATCGGCTGTATCTTAAATAAAATTATCCTCCTCACTTACCTTCGTCTATTTCCCAGTACAAAACATCTTTAAAAGTAACGGTATGAAGTTGGCAGCATTGTAATGTAAACGTTTCGTTTGGGTGGAGGACAATTCACGGTCTCATGATTCTGGTACCACTGCATTGCAGGCAAGGAAGTTGTTCAAACGATTCGCACGTGCATTTACAGACGAATTTGTGATCCAGTCGATTGGTTTTCTGAAAAAAAAATGGCTAGTTCTGATAAACGAGCAGCATACAAAAAATGTGCTTTCCGTGGCTGTACCATAACATCACGTAATAAGAAAAACGTGTCCCTTCATTGCTTTCCAGTTCAGGATACTGAACGGTTGATAGAGTGGATAGTGAACAGTGGCAACGATGATTTTGCTGATCTATCCAACGAAACTCTAAAGAAGCGATATATTTGCACGAAACATTTTGCAGAGAAACACAAAGTTGTTCAAATTAAATTAACAAAGGATGCCGTGCCAGTACTATATGATTTGTCTAACAATAACCAGATGTCTGTACGAAAGAATAGTGTTCGTAAACGTACTTGCAAACACCTTCCTGTTTTTCGACAGAAAGTCAGACAAATTGAACAATTAACAACAGCTGCACAAAGATTGCGTAAGATCTTAACCGAGAAAAATAAAAAAATAGCATTATTAGAACGTGAAATAAAATCATACAAAATGCCAGAATCATATTTCATTCAGAATCTAAAAGGTAAAGTTTCAGATAAAGTAAAAAAATTACTTCTGACGTGAAATAACGGTCCAATTAATGTATGTTATACCTTGCCCCGCGAGAAATCTGAAGTTAATCGAACTGCGCAATACAGATACGTTACATCGTGGAATAACGTATAGATAGTGGTAGCTAACCTATACAATTGAATTCAAAGAAGCGGGGAAAAATATGTTCTATTAACAAAATTTAAAAACACTTTGAAAAAGTTAAATAATGTAAATATGTGATACATTAACTGTCTTATAATACATATATGGGAATGATTTTACGTAGCGCGATGTGTTCCCTTACTTTAAGTAAATTAAAAAAGAAGATAGCCGTAGAAAAGCTCGACAAACCAAAAAAGAAAATTGATCGATTCGATGGGTTATCAGAGGAAGAAGTACAGAAACATACTCTGCCAGACTATTTGGAAATGAACTTGGACATGGTTTTCGTTGGAATAAATCCTGGTTTAATGGCAGCATATCGTGGTAGATATTACGCGGGTCCGGGTAATCACTTTTACAAACTTTTATACGAATCAGGACTAACTCCTCGATGTTTAACATACGAAGAAGATTACAAACTCCTTCGATACGGAATTGGCTTGACGAATATAGTAGAACGAGCCACAAAATCCTCCGCTGACTTGAAGCGTACGGAACTTAAAGAAGGTTCCAAAATCGTCGAAGAAAAACTGCTACTGTATAGACCAAAAATTGCTGTTTTTAATGGCAAATGCATCTATGAAGTGTTTGCTAATAAAACAGGTAATTTCAATTTAGGATTGCAACCAGAATGCATCGGAGATGTTGCAATTTGGGTTACTCCGTCGAGCAGTGCCCGTTGTGCGAATTTCCCTAGAATGTCCGACAAATTGCACTTTTTTACCTCTCTGAAGAAATACTTACAGTTCTTAAAAGGAGAAGTTACGGACGTCGATACAAAGGAGTTTTCGTTCGAAGGAAAATGTAAACAATTTATTCCAAGAACCTCGAAGATGTGGAGGCGAAAAAATGTATCTGCGTTCTTGCATGGGGGAAGAGTCGCTAATAAGGATACTATATGTTTAGATACCTCTGATGTAGCAATAGCTCATAGCACGGAATTTATTGTGGATCAAGTGCAGTCTGTTGGGCAGGAAACTGACGAAAAGGAAGAAATTACGTCACTCGATAATTCAGTAGCATGTATTTCGCAAGATAGCGTAAAGACATTTTTTGAAAATAATTCACTTTCGCAAACCGAACATTTCGACCCGGTAAGCGGTTCAACTGATTCGGAAAAAAATTTTAAATCTGAAACGACGATATCAAAAGTTCGAACGAATGTTAATAAGAAAAAAAGAAGTGTTAAAAGACTTTCACAAAAACCAGCTAAAACCAGAGACTACTGTAGAAACAACCCTGATTCAGATTTTGTAAACATAATAAAACAAAGACTTATGAACAAGGTTGAGAATAATTCTGACGAAGAAAGTGATATAGAAAATAAATAAGTCATAGTGTTCTGATTTAAAAATAAAGTTAGAACCATTTGACTCAGAAAGTACAAATGAGGAGAAAGAGATGTACAGCAAGAGAGATGTTATTCTGTAAAAGACAAATATTTTAGTAATATGTTTGCATTTTCTTTTCATGTTTATAAAAATGTTATGAAGAATGATCAATCTCTATTATTAGGTTCATTAAAATTTTTTTATCTTTAATTATACAAGCTTGGCATTCATGATATTAAAAAGTATACCAACATTTATAATATATGTACATTTTATTCCCAGTTCAACCTCCCATAACCATATAGTAATTAACATTTATAAAAGTGTAAAAATACTTAATAACAAATAATAATAACTATATACCTTAATATGATAAAATAACAATTTATATAATATTACAACTTCGATTTACCAGCATCCATAAGTGACTTTAGTTTTTGCGTAAGCATGATATTTCCTGTAATTTTTAGTTTCTTTTGCATAAATGCCATTTGTGGATTTAATTTTCCCAAAGCCTATAAAAAAAACAATGAATATCATAAAAACACTTAAATAAATTACCAGACCGTAACTAATATGAAAAATCGTATACCATTTGAATCATATCCGCATCTTCCAGAGTCAGCGTTGCATCGGGCTTACCCGATTTTGGTTCGCCCTTATAAACTTCAGCTTTTTTCAAATCCAAAGCTATAAAATATATAAAAACGAAATTGAAAACAAAATGCTAAAATACAGAGGGGGTTAGGTTACGAGAATCGTGGTTGCAAACAAATTACTCAACGCTTGAGCCTGCGCACTAGGCGCGCGCTTCTTGGTCGGTGTTTTTAATTAATAAGTCAAAAATTAGGCCTTAACGAATATTTTAGTAAAGGAAAAAGTTGTTCAGAATCACCCCAGCTACCATCCCCTGCAAGGATACCTACCCGTAGCCGAATACCGTGTATAAGTATACTTACTCCACGTTGCCTGTGGTTTCCCTTTCACTAAAATATGGTAAAGAAAGATTCCGTTAATTTTCTTTACTTCTTCTGGATGCTGTTTTACATATTCAGTGATTGTGGTGAACACCGGATCACTTTCAAGATTTGTAGCATTAGTAGAAACATTTATTGAAGATGTTACTGATTGCTTGGATTTTACATCTTTTAAATCAACATAGCCACCTACATATAACAAATGCGATCCTTAATGAATTTGTATAATTTCAAATTTTCATTAACTTACCTGTTAAAATTGGTACATTGTCATCTGTTTTATACGTTTGGAAATGTATCCTATTTCCTTCTCGCCACATGTCGGTTCGCAATGCTTGTCCTGGATACACCGGTTTCGCAAAACGAGCCTGTAACGTTTATTAAAATAAAACATTTCTTCCTGTTCCAGTATGAACAGTGCTATTATGAACGTTGATTATACTTTTAAAATACTGCTCGTAATGGATACAATTTGAATAATAACATACAATATTACAAATATTTCTTAGCATATTGTATATATGTACATAAGTATGTATCTGTTATATATTATACATTATACATTTCTGCTATATGCATTATAAATAAATATACATAAGCGCAAATACCTTAACGCATTTAAATAAACTTGGATCACCGTCAGCATATGATTGAAGTACATGACGAACAGAAAATCCAAGGGAGCATAGTCCATGCAAAATGGGTCTTTTATGACCAGCCATCGTAGCTATATTTAAATCAATGTGTAAAGGATTTGTATCTCCACTCAATCTATATAATGCAGCCTACGAACCGACAAATTAATATTGAAGTAAGAGAAATTAAAAATTATTGGAAATTTAACCCCATTCCAGATCTGAAGAGAAGAAATGATTATTACTCTTTACCTGATCATAGCTGGTCTGTTGAGTAACCGATGCATCAGGTTTTCGATTTGGGGGATCAATGACTGGTATACTGTGCGAAGATGTTCGCTTTCCTTTGAAACCACCTGCTCCTATTATATATGCTGCCATTTGTCCTACAGCTAACTTTTCACCAGTGGCAGTATCAAATGTTTCCTCTGTACAAATAAGCTACAGGATTTAAATCGCATTTTATATTTGAAAACAAATTATTGTGTATACGTACGATGTATCAGAAGCACAGCACCCTTATCCTTATCCAATACATCCAGAAGCTTGAATCGTGATTCCACTGTAGCTTCCGTCGGCAATTGTTTGTAAACTTCAATATATTGTTCCCCGTGCAATATCTAAAATTATAATATAATACATCCATTCAAATATTATTTTGAAAAGCAGTTTATAATAAATGTTACCCGCGTTGGATCCATTTGCAAACCGGGTAGACTGTCTTCGAGCATCGAAGAAGACATACAGTGTATCGGAGCATGTAAAACGTAAAACGTAGGTATTACAGCAAAATTGCTGTCATTTTCGTACAAATAACGGTAATCAGATGGTTCTTGAACAGTAGCACCAACTAAAATAAAAATTTAATAGTAATAATTGATAAGTGTAACATGATTACTGTAATAGTTTCACTATACCTCCTAAAGCGTATAATATTGTATCCCGGTGATTGTAAGTGTGTTTATAGACACTGTTGTTCTAAGAAAGAAAAATTTATCGTAAGAAACAGTAATACTCAATTTTAAACTACAGAGCAAGGTTGTAATCTTACCTCAGATCCGGGATTTCCAGATTTCATTTCTTCAACGGAAGTTAACAACTGTCCTGTCACTTCCTGTAAAACATAATAATGCAATGTATTTCTAAAAACAAAAAAGACTGTTTAAATCTTAAACCACTTATATACTTCGATGGAATTATAACGTTTAGCGGATGACATATCGGTAACAGTTTCCCAATTTTTCTCAACATCTTCCAGAGTCACATCACTCGATAAATCTTGCCTCAAAGTGGCTCCCGAGGAGCGAATCACGTGGCCTAAAAAATAATAATAAAACGTATGTTCTTGTTTATTTTACTGTATTTCCTGCACTTACATTTTCCAGCCCAACCTAGTGCAGATTCAATAATTGAGCCATTTTCTGTACATTTCTCATGGCACAACCAAGCAACTACCGGCGCTATTAATTCAGGTTTCAGTTGCTGAAAGAATTCTATGAAAAGAGAAGAAAATTAATTTACGATTAATATGTAAAGAAACAACCTACAACTTGATATTATATCTATAATACTATTTTAACCTGGTGGCAAAATATCTTCTGTTAAACGAGAAGCAGCAGTCGGAATTATTACATTGGTATTTATGTTTTTTGATCTCCCTTCGATAGCCAATGTATTAGCCAAACCAACAAGACCCATTTTTGCTGAACTATAATTAGCTTGGCCAAAATTTCCGTATAATCCACTATTACTTGCTGTCATTATTACTCGACCATAATTTTGTTTAGTAAAATATGGCCAAGCAGCTTGAGCGACTTTAAAAGAACCTTTCAGGTGAACATTTTGTACCAAATCTATAAAAATTAAAAATAAATATAGTCCTCAGATTTGAACTAAACAGAGATATTCTATTAATATACTACACATACCCCAGTCTGTCTCTGACATTTTAGCAAATGATTTATCTCTCAAAATTCCAGCATTATTAACAACCACATCTAATCTCCCAAATGTATCAATAGCTGTTTTAACAATTTTTGCACCGTCAAGCACAGAATCATAATTGGCAACTGCTTTTCCACCTAAAACATTTCAAATTATAAACTAATAAAACAGCTACAAAATTGTAAAATAAAAACATGATACATCCCTGTTTGCAATAAATATTTATAGTACATTTTTGCAACACAACAAAAACATTAGCAAATTATTTTCTTTAAAATTTACAAAACATGGTACTAATGATAAGATATGTATATTTATAGGATATTTTATCCAGCACTGAAACAATATTTATGAAATGGATGAATTTTGATAATGCTTTCATGATCTTGCATTAATTGCCATTCAGTCATATATGTAAACCATATATATAACATGTTTATATATGGTAATTAAATACATTTTTGATTATAATGTAAAAAGTATGTACAATCATAAATAATTAAACATAGGGAATGGAACAGTATTTAATAAAAGAATGTATAATATAGGTATTGGATTAAAAAGGTTCAAAATATACCATTCTTTTTAATTTCTGCAACAACTGCATTTGCACTCTTGGTACTTTTTCCATCACCGTCTCTTCCTCCACCTAAATCATTTACTACAACACTGGCTCCTCTTGAAGCAAAGAGCAATGCATATGCACGACCTAGGCCTAAAAAAGTGAAGATAGTAACAAATTTCATATAACAACAGCTTTACATGATAATATGGTAAATATTACTCACCTGCCCCAGCTCCAGTTACTATAACTACTCGACCGTCAAAACGTAGTTCTCCTGGACCCTTCATTATATTGAGTTTGATAGAAAGCAAAATTGCTTTTGTTAATTGTAAGTTTTATACGAATGCTTCCTTTACTCAGCGACTATAGATCTACAACCACTGCTTTACTATGCTTTACTGCTGAGCAAGCGGAACTGCGGAACTACAAACTACAAGTAGTTTAAAGTCCACCGAGTTTCAATTGACATAATACTGTACTATGCAGAGATCGTAAGTTGCCGTCGAATCGAATTCGTTGTCCTGCATTCATCACACCTATTACTTTTAGTGTATATGTATCATTGATATGTATACTTATCGCACTGCAACCTGGTGGAAGAAGCATAAAATTGCGTAACATTGACGTATATAAGAATGTAAATAGGATTTTTTCCTGAGATGAATCAAATCCCTGTGTTTTGTTAATATCAGGTGTTTAATTCTCTTTATTCATAATTTCACGTAATAAAAATATTACAGCATGTTTTGTTTTTGTTGCATTATAGAGTTTTAGAATGGAAAGAGGACCAATGAACATTTTTTAAAGAGACCAAGTCCACCTTGGTTCTTACCTAGTTACGCCAATGTAAAAATTCAAGTGTTGCTTATCTTTCCGTTATTATATTTATTATACTTGATAAAAGTATATATCTAATCTGAAAAATGTTTATTTATATTCTGCATAGTTGAAAGTCCATTGCGATAGCGGTTATTTCGAACAAATGCAACAAATATTTTCAAAATCTTGGTTTTGACGATATTGATATCGGTTGAGGCGTTTCTTGGGCTGAATAGAAAAATGTTTTATATACTTGAATCACATATCCGAGAAAGGTTGCTTACAGTTTTAAGGGTTTATTGTGTAATTTTATTTCTCAAAATTGTATAACATCCATACATATCTTTTGAAACATAAAACGCAGAAACAGTTAGAACAGCAGTAAAATTTTACGAAATTTAAGTCTCATAAATTTTCTTATTTAATCGAAGTTTCTTGTGATTATGAATCATGAAAAAAGAGATAATAATAAAAACGGTATTAATATGCGTGTCGTAGAATCACTGATGAAAGTACAATTGAAATAAATATATTTTCCTTTTATTGCATGTGTTGACGCCTACGCGCTGCTCTTTGCTTGTCAAATCGCAATTCCATTTCTTCTAAGACACGTGGAGTGTATCGTACAACCAGTTTCACAGAATTTTGTGCTTGTTTTAGTAATTCTACTGCCTTTTCATGATTTTCTCCTTCAACACACTGAAAAAAAAAAAAAAGATAAACGTAATACTACAAACAAAATTTAAACAAAGTATGATGTATAAAAGCAAAACTAACGACTCCGTTCACTGAAAGAAGCTGATCACCGCGTTTCAAGCCTCCATGACGATCAGCAACACCTCCAGGGATAATTCGCGAAATATAAATTGGCGAGTTTTGTTCCTTGCCTCCCATCACATTAAAACCAAGACCTTCTTCGGTTTTTGGTAATTCGACTACCCGTGGATGTGCATGACCTTCGCTTGCCGCAAAAGCAGCAACCGTTGCTTTAGCAGTAGCCGATGCACGAACATCTTGAGAACCCTAAAATTGTTAATGTTAATACCAAATTAAAGCAAACTATAATGCAATATAGGTACGTAAAAATACCTGAATATCTACAGTTTCATATACATGTTCGTATACTTCGCGAACAGCGCTCAAAAAATCACTTTGTAATACTTTTTGTAAGGCAGCTAATTTTGTGGCAGGTATTTCTCCACCTGAAACAATAAATATACAACTATTAAATTCAAATAAAAGATGCTCTATCTAATTTCCTTATTAATAATATCACGTACATGATTTACATAAGAAAATAAATCAAACCAAGAATACTACAAGTAGTAACAATTGTATTAAAAAGACATAACTCTTATCGTAATCCTTGATATAATAACACTGCCCGTTAGCATGCGCCATTGATACTAACATAGATTTAATTAATTACCTTTCTGTAATTTGTCTAATAATTCAATGGACCTCTTAACATCTGCAAATAGAAGAAGCAATATTATATTCTGTATTTTTATTAAGTAACAAGTAACAATTAAATTATTAAATTGATTAGAAGTTTGACCTAATTATCTTATTAACTTTCTTACAAACACATTTGTCATATTTATTTAAACGATCATACATTAAATTTTACCATTTGCTAAAGTGAGGGGTTCGCCCATCGTAACCATACCTAAAAACAAATAAAACAAATCTTGAAGGATATCTTAGAAAGTAATAAAGAGTCGTAATTATTGAAAAACGTACTAATAACGACTTAAACAACCTACAAATACAATAACTTCGTTGACCGTGACACTTAACAGTCACTACTGTCACGAAAATACGTCAACAATTTGATCTATCGACCAAGAGTTGTAAACCAAAGAATGTGAAACATCTTGTAAGGTAACTGAACGCCTTTTCTCACACTTGCTCACAGTATTGTGCAGTTCACCAGAGTCCTGAAAGATGGTGGGGGAACGCAGCGAGCTCTCCGCTAATCGCTTTCCATTTCGTGTGGGAGTACCGCCAATCAGGGCGAAGATGCGCACTGGAGAAGCGCGAAGAACGAAAACAGGTCTTTTCGCAGTTATGGACTCTGGTGAACTGCGCCACAGCCGACTCTAGTACTAGCCGTGCTAAAGTAAAAATGGCAACACCGCGAGAGTCCGGTCTGAATATATCAACACCTACCCTACTCTATCTGCCTCCCGGACTCCAAGACTCTCAGCCAATCAACGTCGTCAGACTCCCGACACTCTCTGGACTTCACATAACCTCTTTGGTTTCGATCCAATCATTTCGCTTGTTTCAAGGTTTTTATTAACTTATATACACGTTTATCAATTCTTAAATGTTTCAATTTGATCCAAAGATGGTTTCATTTTGCTTCATACCTAAATTTTCTTGAAACCACTGTAAATATTTCAAATATCATGCTTCACAACACCAAACTACTGTGAGAGTACACAAAATATATATCACATTTATAACAATTTTATACTACCACATCACTTCTATTTGCCATAGTTGCAACGTTTATATATTGTTTATACATAATTAACACAAAATAGTGTATATTACTACAGCTTTTAATTAAAAAGGACGTTAATTACAATTCCGAGCACAGGACTCTGTTTTTGAAAATAGGACTCCCGATTGTCACGTGAGCGGTGTTGCCACGTTGTTTAGCATGGCTAGTACTAGAGTCGGCTGTGACTGCGCACTTATGTAGTGAAAATAATACCCCATTGCCCCTGCTTTCATCGCCCTCTATAACTGGGGAGATAAAATGTGAACTTCAATCATTTTCGCGCCAAACCTATTCAGTAAGCATGTAAGATCAGTCAGTAGTTATGTTATATTACACGGTGTAGTTAGCTTTCAGGACAGTGTCAATTGTATTTCAAGTACAGATTTTATTTAAAACTAATAATTATTTAAAGATTTTCAAGGCTTTAGAAATAATGATGGACACAGCATTATAACTTACTGATTTTATAACGACCTTAGTTTAAGAGACAGGAACCTGTTTGAATTGTTAAGGAATTGTATTTTAGAAAAATGAATGATTGTAATTTGGACGATGCGAGTAATGTAGATAACGGATCTAATGTACAAGATTCAAAAGAAATAAACTCTATTGAAATCGAACCAGAGCTGTATAAATCTGAAATTAAAAACCATTTAAACAATGAAACTGATACCAATGTATCCGATAAAACTTTGGAAAGCAAAGATGAACAGAAGAATACTCAGAAAGATGATGAACTTAAAGAAAATAATGATGCTCATAGAAAACTACTGACAATAATAGATAGTGATTCGGAAGATGACAATATCTTTATTTCTAAATCCAGAAGTAAGAAAACTATTCATGAGAGTTCAGACGATGAAATGCCTAATTTAGATCAAAATAATAAATTTAAAAAGCATTCAATTAGTAAGAACAAAAAGAATGACTTTGACAGTGATTCTGATGATACATCTAATATTATTAATGGTAATGACAATGAAGAAACCATTACAAGTGAGAGAAAAGAAACAAATAATGTAGGTAATAACTTTAGAATGTATACAATGTAGTTACTGAAATAATTATTCGCATTCATATTTTACAGATACAGAGTAGGATTCAAACTTTAGTAGACCTGGATTCAGAAACAGAAGATGACGAGAAGCAACTAAGTCCTATGAAAAATAAAAAAAGAACAAAGAAACAAGATGAAAAGAAATCTAATTCTAAGATGAGAAAAGTAAGTTATTAAGAAGTTTCGCATATGATTTCTATAACATGTATTATGAATAAAAAATATTATTGTATTACAGGTTTCATTGAGAGCCTCTAAAGAGGAGGCTATGAAACAGATACATAGTGAAACTCAAAGGTTAGTAAGAGAAACAGAAGTTTCTCTTCCTTATCACAGACCAAAGCAACGATCATTACAAGAATTTTTAAGCAGAAGAAAGGTAATAACGTCACTTCCAAAGGCACCTACAATGGCAGCTAAGTTAAAAATGTCTTCTGCTATTGTTGAGTAAGTAATTTTTTTAGCACTATATGTTGTTACAGTGTAATTAAATATAATATCAATTCAAACATTCTGTCATTTATTTGTTAAACAGTGAAGTTTTGAAAGAAAAAGAGAAAGAAGCAGAAATCTTCTACAAATCCTCAGATTCAGAAGAAGAAATTATAGAGGATCATTCATCGGACAAAGAAAATTTAGAATCCAAACAGGAGCTTAAAAATAATAATGTTTCACGAAAATTGTTTACCGATATTAGTTCATCTGTAAATGATAATAAAGAGGGAAATGTTACGAATGAAACACAAGAAACTTTAGCTGAAATGAAAGAATGTGAAGATAACGAAGTAATAACAAACGGCGAAACAAAAAATCCAAACGATTCATTGATAGTAGAGGTTCATTGTGATTCTGATGATGCAGAGAATATAAATGAAACCTCTGAACTGAAAGTCGTAAAATCATGTGAAATCTCTGAAAATGCAAAAGTAAGCGATACTTCGTTACCAAAAGATGTTACTGGTATTTCCGAAAATGAAAACAATGACCATGAAGAAAATAACATAAAAGCTCCAGAATCTCCAGATTCTTCTGTTGCAAAAGTTAACAACGATTATGCTAAACCTGTAAAACGGTCTTTGGGATTGGATGAAAATGAGTTAGATGAATACGGTTTACCGCCACCTAAATTCGATGACTTACTAAATATTAATGAAAAGAAAACTTCGTTGAATTTCATGAGTTTAAAACCTAAACTAAGTGGCGCTCCTGGTAGCATGATCGATTTAACAGATGAGATTAAACCGAATAAAAATGGAGTAAATGCTTTGATAAATAGATTTATGAATAAGCATTCGAAAGCCAGCAGACGCACCGATGATACACCTAATGTTACGGTAACTCACATAATCGAATCTCCAGACGGAATATCGGTTGTGAAAGAAACACTTCCATACAAATCAGCAGCTACAATGAATGAAGATTTTAAATTGAAAAAACCTGGAGCTAAATTGGTGCGTTTAAAGGAGGAATTGAAACATAAAATGGCGCTGAAACGCGACGAGGAATGGAAACAAAGAGAGCAAGACATGAAAGAACAGGAGATAGAGTGGGATGATTCTATAATCGAGGAAGAGCATTTAAGCGATACAAGCGTAGAGTCTGAAAAAAGCGATGAGGATGAATTAGAAGAAGATGATGTATATATAATGAAAGAAAAAAAGAAAAAGAGAAATGCTTATGTAGATGACGAAGCTGATGTTAGCGATGATTACATAAATGATAGCGAAGAAGATGAATCGTCGGAACATTCAGAAAACGAAGAAAATAATGAGAAAGATGTAAAATGTAAAACGTTCAAGAGAATCTTAGAACTTTCGGATGATGATTCCTTGTATTCGAATACCGATAATGTTGAAAGTACAACGGATAAAGACAAAACGGCTTCCCTTTCTCAAGTGATCGGAGTAGATATGTTTGATATAAATGCTAAAGCGAATGAAGAGAATAGTGATAACGAAAGTGATATTCAAGCCTTTCAAGTACACGCGGCAAACAATTTAAAATGTCAAACGCCGCAAATTAAAATGAACTGCTTCGATTTTATTTCTCCTGTGACGCAGTTGACGGCATTAAATGCGCGCGTAGAATCCGAAAACGAATCTCCTGAAATTGAAAAGCAGTTACCTATTAATAAAAATAATTCTATCTTAATAGGATATACGCAGTCTCAGGAATTATCTCAAGAATTGAATGATCTTAAGAAACGATCACTACCGCAAAGAGAACTATTTCCCGATCAAAGCAAACTGTTAGGCGAACAATCGACGCAGGATAACTTTCGTTTATCAAGCGAACCTAATGTAACTGAATCACAATTATTAGATTTATGTTCAGGAACATTTGGTTCTCAAGTAAGTGATCCTAAGCAATCGACGAATGAGTTCTTCGATGAAACATCACAAAGTGTGCGGGCATCTCCTGAAAAAGACTCTCTAATTGCTAAGGAAAACACATATAACGAAGACGAAGAAATAACATCTCGGAACAAGTTAAGGGTTGTATCATCCGATGAAGAAGATTCAGCACAAGATAAAATTAACAATCGATCAAAGAGAAAAGTAAAAAAACTAGATTTATCTGATGATGAGAGTGAAAAAGATTCTGCGGAGTCGAGTGATGATGAAGAAAAAGAAGACGACGACCAAGACAAGTATGTAGATTATGATTCAGATGAGAACGAGATAGTTGTTTCGAAGAAAAACATCAAACAATATGCGACTACATTTTTAGAAGAAGAAGCTGAACTAAGCGAGAGTGACTGTGAAGTATCTGCAGATGAAAATGAAGATGAATTGGACAAACTTGAATTAGAAGAAGTAGATGATGAAGATATCGACGAGTCACAAGTGAAGAAGCAATTAGAAAAATTGCACATGAAACAACTACTGGACGAAGATCAGAAGGAAGTAAGAATGCTTAAAGAGTTACTTTTTGAAGATGGAGATTTGTACAGTGAGAGTGCACGAGAGCGAAAATTTAAATGGAAAAATATAGGTATAATATGGCTATTTCGACAATTTTTAAGCAGACGAAATTGCGTGAGCAGTCATGGAAATTATTGTTTCTTTTAGATAAACAGGAAGACAATGATAATTCTCCATTATTGGAAGGTAAAGATGGTTGGGTTGATTTATCAGACGACGAGGAAGAATCCAAATGGCGTCAACTAAAATTTGAAAGAGACAAATTCTTGGCTGTACAAATGGTAAAATAAATTATAGAAAAATTGAAAACATATTTATAACTATACATTTGTTTTTAGGGAAAACTCGATGATGACATTGAGAAAGATTTAGGTACAAGTCAGATATTTAACTATGGGATGAAGATTTTAAAGAAAAGGCGAATTACTGAATCACTTAAAGAAGATACGTTATTAGAAGTTGACTCCAAAACGGAATCAAGGATACCTCATACTGTGGCGGAAATGTTGAATAGTACAAAATTAGAAGGAAGTTCAAGTGTGATACATGTAAGTGTGATATTATTTAGTTATCCCATCAGTAATATTGGCAAAACTCAATCAACACGTTTTGATTTTTTAGAGTGTTCTGCGGAAGCGTTCATTTCTTGCAAAGGGAGAAGAATCTTTGGCGCGTTTGGCCGCTGTAGCTAAAAAGAAACATAAAAGTTTGGCAGCTATCGATAGGAAAAAATTTGTATTTATTCCTATAGATCGATCTACCAAAAAAGAAAATTCACCAGTGATAAAAATACAACCAAAACCTTTTAACGTGAGAAAGAAGCGTTGATATTATACAATTTCGTCAATAAACAGTAAATATTAAATATAAATAAATTAAAAAGGTGAAAATATAATTCTTAAGCAAGTTCATACAAAAGACTGATTACAATTTACCGGAATGCATATGTAAAATTTATCATTTTTATAAAAGAGAGTAATATTATAATCAATTAATTGCTACAAAACAGTTCAAAAATGTTTATACAATAAAAAAATAATTTTAATTTATAAAATGTTATAAATTATATAAAACCATTGTATAAGTTTATTGTTGTTAAAAAAATTATAAATAAATACTTATACGAAAATAAATAGTTGTTTAATATTCATTGAAGCGAAACTTTGGCTTGAGAAAAAAAAACATTGATAACGAGGGACAGGGTGATGTATGGGACGTTTGTTTAATGTAATTCAACCCAATAATGCTCACCCTTGCCTAGGGCGATTTTCACATGCAGCATGAATTGAATCGTTCCATTTAAATGTACAAGTCGATAACATAGAAATCTATTGATATGCAACTTTAAAGTTAACACGTTAATAGTTGATAATATAGGAATTGATTGTTGTATAAAGTTCTAATAATATTAGACAATAAAAGTATTTTGTAATAAAAATTACATATTTTAAATAGATCTGTAATATAACGTTAATGATACTTCTGTGAACTTATTACAATAATAGTTATTATACGAATAGCTTTATGTCATACAACTTTAAAATAAGATTACCCTTTAATTAGGCACCATTTCTTTTCCCTAAGCCTTCAAAGCGTCTCCACCCTTTAATGAGCAATTTAATATTTCTGCCAGTAACGTTCCCATTAAAACCCCTGCAGTAAGAAAATAAGAAAACTGTAAAGTAGGAGAAAATGCTGTATTCGGTCCACGATAAAACATCGGGAGCTTTTTCGAAAAAAGGAAAACAACTGGTCGCATAAGTACATATATATTTTAGAAGACAAAAAGCAGGCAGGAAGGAGGATCGCGGGTAGAAAAGTAGCATCCAACCGCAGAATAACAGGGTACGTTGTCGAAGACGATGGTCGGGGTGGAAGATGTTGTTCGTTCGGTGGGCGAGGTGAGGGCGCTCGGGAGCTGTGATGGGAACGTAGGGATAAGGGTGGCTTGTTGCGTAAGCCGATTAGAGCATCACGGCAGTCACTCGTGTCTGGTGCGCCAACGTGGTGTTTCTGGTGCTATTGGTGCACAGGACGCGGATATGCCAGGCAGAGAGACATTAAAATCGCATCAAATATGTAGAAGCTGCTCTCCCGTTCCCTCCATACCAGCGGATGCGGGAGCACTCGTCGACATCCGTGCAGGCAAAAAGCTTGTCCCCTGTCCTGGAAGTCGCTTCTCTCTCGTTCCTTTTCCGCTGCTCCTACACTTCAGCCTCCCAAAACTGTATGCCCTTGCACGAACTCAAAGAAAGTAGATTTCAGATGGACCTAAAATGGAGGAAGACGACAAAATGTTGGATGATTTATCTAATTTTATAAATAGTACCGAGCTCGAATAGAAGTATGGAGTTAAATTTTCCCACAGAGTTGTCGATTCGCGCAATGGAATATGGCGAAGCGAGATTTTAGCATTCTGTAATTCGAGTATCGAACACGTAACGGTGTTTTTAAACGTTCATGCATACGTAGCCAGAAGCGGAGAGTGCAACACGTGGTAAAATGTTTCACGTAGTATCAAATAATCATGGCAAATCCGTATCGACCGACTTATCCCACGTTAATACCTTGTATTTTATGTTCACCGCAAGCGGTATTAGTCCACGCGATGTTTCCACGTAATAATGGATCATATGCCGTTTGTTTTTGTTCGTTCCGCCAATAGAATTATTATGTTGACCATATGAAAATTTGAATTTCTCCTGTTTGCGAGAAAATCCTGTGTCATCAACATTTATCATTATAATGAGCGCGTTGCGGATGAATGGAATGGAACGATATTAAAAAATAAAAAGACGAATAAATAGAACGGTGAGAAAATTGAAAGAAAAGATTTCCACTTGACTCGTCGAATGGCCAAAAATGGTAACAACATAGCGATTTCGTTGATTGTTGATTGTCGTTGGCTTGACGAACTTAAGAGAACGTCTTGACGTGTTCTCGATGGACTCTCGTCCAATTACAGTAGGCGATTGTCCGGCTTGAACGATTCCCAAGGGTGAGGATTAACTAGCGGGAAATCGGCTGAAGCCTACACGTTCACACGTAAGTCCATCGACTTTGATGGTGAAGCTGAGCCTTATTTTGTGGTGGATCCATCAGCAGCGTGAAATTATTTATCATGATTAATCGAACATACTCCGCGGCTAATTAAGTAAGAAGATCAAGAGATTAGTATGCGGTCGAGGAATCAATGCCCCCACCCCCCACGACTTATACCAAGCTTGTTCACCGTGCTGCAGTATCGCGTATCCGTTTGTGGTTATTCTTGTTGAATATAATAAGGAACAAAATAAATTCGATGATTCTATTGGAAAGTAGAAACCTACTATGAAAAAGAACAGTTTAATAGGAAGGGTAAGGTGTGCTCGAAGCAGCAACACCCGGGGGATTTTATTCTAGCAGCGTGCGTGCAATTACCGGCGTTAAATTGCACGTTTATCACGTGCGGTCACGCGGATAGCTGGATGACTTGAAATGTTCTCACGCTGTCATATTCCGGTACACGTTCCTCTTTCTTCTCAAAATTTTCGTCAAAGGTATCTGGTATTCAAATTTGTTTCGTTTGTACATTATTGTAAGTACAGGGTATTCTGCGTTCCATCTTCAACGAGTATATTTCTTCACAAGTGAAAGGGTTAAATACGAACAACGCTACATTCAACCATTTTTCATAGAGCATACTTTGAGAAATGCTGGATTGAAGCACCAAGAGGAGCGGCATCAAACACCCTTCGGTGGCTACGAGGTAACATCCCCAGCGAACACCTATATTCATTAGTTGCGTGGTCGACTGGGCGGTGAGCGTTTAAATGAGCACGCGCCGAAATTCCAGCAGAGTGGGGGCAACTGTGCAGCGCGGTAGGGGATGTGGGCTGGAGGATGGTCGACCAATAGCGGGCGAAACGAAAGCGAGTACCCGGGCGGAGCATTGGAATATACTGCACGCGGTGCGGGCTTCCTTCTGTCAAACGGCGTCTAGCCGCCGAGGAGGAAGATAGTGTGTTTCGTTGCTGGAAGAGACTTCGAAGAGACGTCAACTAACCGGTGACTAAGTGACAGAAGTCGTTTGGGAACCGGTGGAATCGTTCTTTAGGAAGATTCTACGGAAAGACAGTGGTCTTAAGAAGTAAACAGCATGGAAACGGTAGAAATTTTGATCGTATGGGCTGTGTGAGGGGAATCGTGGTGAAGAAAACTTCAACCGAAAACGAACGTCAACATGTTGCAAAGTTCATTGCCGCGGGCGTTCTTGCCCCCCGGGCTAAACTACTTGGGCTATTACGGTGACGAGATCCATCAGCATCCGTACGGTACACCCACTACCTGGCACATTCCTATGGAGAGTCCTTCTTATTCAAGGCTTCCCGACAATCACGTCCTTCAGACGTGGGATCTGTCCAGATCGTCGACCCCGTGCCCTCTGGATCTGTCTCTGAAGCCTCCACCTACGCCGTGTACACCGAAAACCGAAGATTCGGAATCAAAGAAAGATCAGAGTATATTGGACGAAGCGCAAAAAGAGCCGGAGAGCGTCAAGTATCAAAGAGTCGAGGATGAAACGGTTCCAGTGGTGGTCGACGATTTCGACAGCATCCCTCGAAGCTCCTCCGTGCACAGTCATTCTAGCTACGAGCAGTTGCTTTCGAAGAAGGAGTCTGTTCAGCTCCAGGAGGCGGCGGACAAAACCAGCATTCTGGACGAGGCGACTCGTCTGATCCCTTTCGGTTCACCTAGCGAGGTCAATTCAAAGTATTACGCGCACAGTCAAAAATTCTTATTGACCAGCCCCAGCCACCTGCAGGGATACCATCAGCAGCTTTTACTGACACCGCAGCACCATTTGCAAAGTATGCAACACGCGCCTATGACTCCGCCGAGTACACCGTCGCCTCCCCAGTGTCCCAGGAGAAAGATCAGGGAAGAAAACGCTAGCCCCCCGTCTACGACCAGCAATGCCGGGATGTCTAGCGGGTCAAGGGCTAGCTCGACCGAGAAGCTTCTGCAGAGGCCGAAGAAGAAACACGCGAGACGACTAAAGTTCGACGAGGACACCAGCAGTCCGGTGTCCGGTACCGTGATCTTGGGTCCGGACGAAGCCGTGGTCACCGGAGACATCGACCCAGCGTTCAACATCGTTGAAGTCACCGAGGAGGCGCGGGCGGAGCTGGCTAAGATCGAAAACAGGCTGGGTCCGTATCAGTGCAAACTTTGCAGGCAACTCCACGAGGACGCGTTCCAATTGGCGCAGCACAGGTGCTCGAGGATAGCCCACGTCGAGTACAGATGTCCCGAATGTGATAAGAGGTTCTCGTGTCCGGCCAATTTGGCGTCCCATCGACGTTGGCACAAACCAAGGCTGGCCAACGGTGAGCATTCCACATCCTCGGCCATCATCGAGATACCCTGCACCAGGTGCGACGCCAAGTTCACCAGGCAGGCTGCATTGAGGAAACACTTGGCCACGCAGCATCCAGAGACCAACAACAACGGCAACGTCCTGTTCGAGGGTCAGGGTGCTATTGGTAAGAACGACGTTGCTCAGGTGGTTTCTGATAGTACGTTGAACACCGAGATGGCCTGACATCAATTTCCTGCCAGACCTTTGCCGTGTAGACCTGGCCTCTATTGGAGATTCGGGCTTGATTTATAAACAACTGCTCTTTCATTTGAAACTTCATTTGGTAGTTAAATGTTTGAAAAGCATCCTTTTTTGCATCCTTGTCTTTTTTTTATTGTTGATCGGATTTTTTTTTTTTATCAGTGTATAGGATTAATTTCAAGGTTATTTTTTAAGGTTAGATAAGTGCAATTTCAAACAACCGTGAAATTCGGTGACACTGATTACACACCTTTCGGTGACATTCATTTTAACGACGACTCTCATCAGTTTGAGACAATAATCGCCGTTACAACGGAAACGATACACCTATCGTGCGAGCAACACTAGTGGGGGAGGGGACGAATTGGATTGTAAATTTGCATAGAATTAGAAGTATACCGAAGCAACAAGGTTAACACGGTGTTGCGTGCGATGTAAATTTGTAGATAGCGAGAAGAGGTCAGCTATAAACTGTGACTGTGCGTGTACATACCAATTCCCATTTATCTGTTCTGTAATATTTACCGAACCCGGCAATTTGTCATCTCCCATTATACATATACGTATAGGGTGTTCCACCTTTTACCCGACAAAATGTGCGAGCATATTTTATAGGCAATACTTGAGACACTTTGTGTAGATTTAAGTCAACGTGTATGTTATTTAAAACAGATATTCCTTAGCGTAGATTTATCTCATCGATTCGTGGAATCGTGATCATACAGCTAAACATCAAAGATAATTAAGTCACTCGAAGCATGCGTTGTCTAGTCAATAGTGTAATCCGCGTTGGTTATTTTTAAGATGAGGACTAGTTGTATAGCGTTTAATCGTCGTTAACGTAATACACCGAGCCAGGGACGACTTTTCAGAATCCACCGTGGATTTTTGCAATTGTAAAATTCGTCTAAGTCTTTTGGTCGAGCCTCTCGCTAATAACTTTGAACCGAACACCCACCGGCAAGGCATATTGAACAGTTACTTAATAGACTTAGCGTGAGAAAATATTACTAGAATATGCATATTATGTAACAGTTTACGAAATATTGATAGTATAATGGCCAAATTAACACGGATTGTAGCAGGGGCATCTATAATAAGAAATCGTTTGTATATAGTTCCCAGTCAGAGAGCATAGTCGAACGACAATTGTAGAAATGATATCTAGTCGTAGGGCGAGAAAATATTTATTGTTGTTAAAAGGTACTCTTACGATGTACAAGGAAACCATCCCAAGTGTTCCTTGTAGAATTTAATGTACTTTTGCATGTTATCAGTTTCGTCATAAAAAAAATTTTATATTTTATTTGAATAACGTATGAAGTAACTTATAGACTTTAGCATGGAACATTATAAAAGTAATCTTTTTTTTTCTTATTTCAATTTGGCAAATAATTTTTTGTTACTAAAACAATAGGGGCAATGAGTATACGAGTATGCAGTGTTATTATCTCATATATTACTACTATTCCTTGTTATTAATTAAGGTGATTTAAAATGGCATTGTAATATCGTTTATTTATTTACTCACAAATTATTACTAAATAATATTTATGAAAAAGATACAATACCATTTCACGTCACCGTCGCTATAATATTTTTATTTCTATTTATTTTTTGTTTCGCATTATCCTTTATTCTACTCGTCTAGAATAAATGAGTATGATCTAGTCCAAGAATAGAGAAGGCGCTGTGTTTCTTTAAGATTAGTACGTAGGTAATAACGATCCAAGAGAACAATCACATGGTACTTTAGAAAATAATTATATCTGTGTCAAGCATGCACACGAATTTACCTATAAGGCGTCCGATTGCCCGTGCCCCTATCACTGCTTGCTGTGCATGCCTGATCTATACATAAGTTGTCCATTATTCAACTTAGCGTTCTAATTAAACGGCAGAGAGTCTTTGAATAAACGCATTGAATGTTGTTTGAAATAAAGTCTAGTCAAAGCTAGTCGTACATATTATCTGCGAAGTAAAAATTAATTATTCCGTATGATCTATAAGAAATGATTAGCAACCCCTCTCGTCTACCGCACGAAGCAAAAGAACATCTGTATAATCTAATCTTTAATTGTCATTAGTTTAAGTGTCTCTAATATAACAGTCAACGAACCGATTGTATATACATGCGTAAGCGTTAGATTGTTGCAAAGAATTTGTCTGTGTGATATATTGTTTATATAAAAATAATTTCCTATGTAATTTTTTTTTTTTTACAAAAGAAGAAATTTTGATTTGATCTTACTAATTTTTTGTTGTCTCTTAAATTTAAAAATAAAACATGTTTTGTTTGCAAAACCACTGAAAATATAAATTACGAAGGGTGCTATGGATGGCACAATACATTGCGTGTTTGCTCGAACGAGCAACCAGCGGCTACGGCTCGGTACTGTAACGCGTTACGGTATCAAATTTGTTTTCAACGTTTTATTTGCACGCTGATAAAGAATGTACATCATCGAGAAGAAAATTTGATACTTTTCTGTAGCCCGTAAGATTGACAAAATTGTAACGATCTTGTCTCTGCGATACGTGCATCTGTATCTCTTTATAAATATGTATAATAAAAAGTGAGCTTGTACTATCACACGTTTACAGTATAGCTGGTTATATGTTAGTTTAGCTTCAGAATGTACGTTTCTGTTCATATCTGTATATAAAAGTTCCATTTCAAGCAAATACACATATCGTGAAATTGAATCTCTGTTTCGTTGTTATTTCATTCATATCCGTTTTCAGCCTTCATACGTGAAATTCGTTTGATAACACGGTACTTTGAAGTATCAATTTATTCTATTATTTTTAAGTTATCGTCGATTATAAAATTATTAGAATGTTCAAAAGTGGGTTTCAATTGTTAAACTATTTTTATATAGCAATAAATGTTGGAATTTTAGAGCGATGAGGGGACCGGTTTCCATTTTTAGAGGAAGGGGAGACTGCATTCTTGGGGAGGTGCCAGACACCCTGACCCCCACCTAGTTACGCCAATGGCGATGATCCAAGGATCTATTAAAAATCTATTAGATCCAATAGATGCACATACCTACATTTTGAATCTTCTGAAAAATTTCGTATCAGATTAAGGTTCTTTTGTGTTAAATGATAAGACATCCACCCTATTCTATTCTATCTGTATATTTCACGTTGCAGTGTTCTCGTGTTTTGTCCCCGAATTAGCCGCGATGATTGATTTCTATTGATCGAAAGAAACTGTGGAAAGATCAATAAAGCATTATAAGAGGAAGCATAGCATGATCCAAGTCAGTATTGTCCAGGGATGATGTCCTCCCACGTTACTTTGCCGTGTGCTGCTATAATGTGTCGTCCTCGAATCCATAGAGGAGGGATTGCTGGCTCTGTAATCTGCGCGGTGCCTTTGTGCAAGTCGAATAAAGAGATCTGTCGCGCCCTTGCCGTTCAACGAAGACCATTAAATCCATGAAGCTGATTTTTCGAAATTCCCAGCTTCCAGAGCAACCACCACCAGCCTCTTTAAAACCTTCCCGATCATGAATTCCCTCGTTCCTTTGTAAGCGTAATAAGGCTTACCCTCCTCCTCTTCAGACTCATCTAGAGAATTCGTGTTTTGCGATTTTTTCACAATTACGTTTCAGGAATCGTAATAAATGATTTAGAATCGTGGTGTACCCTTGTATGTTTTGACGGATGGTTTTATCATTTTTCTTGAATGTTTTGAAATGTCAGTTGAAAGAAATTGAGGTAACGAGTTATTACCGCTCCTTTCTTAAGTTCATAAGAAGTTAAGCAAAGAAGTAGCAAAAAAGGAACACCATCCTATCTTATCGCGAGGAGGCAATGGAATTAAACAAAATTAAAAGAATTTCGTCTGGATATTTACGACTACTGCATTTCGTTTTACAATGTATGCTTTCAGATAAATGTGTTCCAGGTGAAAAATAAACGACGATTGCAACTTTTAACACGTAATAAGAAAGTAAAAGAAGGAAACATTTTTCTATCTTTCAGTGTAAGTTGATCCGAAATCAAGAATAGAACGTGTACCCTTTTCGCTTTCCCCTTTGAGGTCCAGGAATTCGATTGTCGATGCATTTCAGGTACATCACGGATCAGCCAAAGGATCCTAGCGGTATCCAAAGAAAGATGACACATTCTAAATCAAAAGATCCACTTAGGCCAGGGTCTCCTGGTTTTCGTCTTCCTATCATAGGATTGATCGACGGTAAAGGCGACATTCGTAAAGGTCAGGATACACCTTCGAAGTATCTTGCGCCGTTGCAGGAAGCAATTTCGCAATTTTTCTTCGCGACTTTGTCATCTTCGCTTTACTATTCGCCCAGGCCGAAATACAATTTCCCCGAGCGTCGGATAAGAAAGTGTTCAACAGAGAGGGACACTGAGAGGGAGAAAGAGACTTTCGAGAGTGTAGCGGCATAGTCCTTTATCGACGTGTCTTCGAAGAATTTTCAGAATCGCTTTCTCCCGTGGGAAGCTCCCCCTTGTCGTGTCATACGTATCTATCTTTATCTGCATGTATGTGTGAGGGTGTCGGTGGAAAAAAATTTTCTAAAAAAAAGAAGAAAAAAAACTTGATCCATTGATTTTGATGCGAGTGATTTTTCAAAGTTGTTCTCTTCTCTCGTATATTTGTTCCTATAACGAAACATAAAATAATAGCAAAATGTAATGATAACATCAAGATATTTGTATGTAATTAAATATGGAGCAGAGGTTTCCTCCGTGTTGGAGAGATGGACCGAAGTTTCTAAGTTCCTCTGCATCAGGCTCCCAAAATTAATTCGAACTTAGGCCGTGGCTCCTGTTGATCCTTATGGTCCCGATGCAACAAAGTCTGAAAGAATTCGTTACATGATTTAGTTATTTGAGACGAGGAAGAAGGAAACGATAGGATAGAAGTGGAAGGTCGAGATGTATTTGAAAGACTGGCAGGCAAACAGAAAACGGTGCTTTTATCATTAGGTAAACAATCGCAGTTATAGTGCTCGCCGTGCTCTGCCACAATATCACCTCGATATCTCGTAAACGACAAACATCTGTGGGATAATAACTGTAAAAGCTTTCGGAGAGGACGTCTGAAGAAACCTCTGCCACGCCAGTGGATTTCTTAGAAGAGAAATTTTCACCTCGACCTCATCTTCCACCGTTTCCTTCATTCGCCTACTCTCTCCGCAAATCTGTTATCAAATAATAGTGTTACGCGTAGTAGAGGTACCTTCTACTCTTCGTGTCATTTTTGGACTGAGAAAAATTGAAGAAAAGTTTAAAATTAAGTAAACTCGCGAGAACAAGATTTGTCATTGGTGGAAAATCACTTTTACGAAAGGGCAGGCTGCCTTTGATTTTATTTTATCTCGGGGTATTAGAGCACGATTGCCTTCGAAGCCGAAAATTGCTTTGACCCGACCCTATGAATGTCTCCGTTCGTCACCAGGCTTCATCCATTCTTCGACCATCCTTGAAACATCCCCGTGGATCAATTGATTCCTTCGTCCTAGTCAGACCTGTGCGAGGGGTGTTAACGAAAGTCGAGAATCTTCAATAATAGTTACAAGAAAATATACGTGATTCAGTAAATATTATGGAAACAATACGATGTGGTCCATTAGATCCTATACAAATTCATCAAAGTGTAAAAATGGATAATGAATAAAAAAAATAGACCAGATGTCTGGTCTCACGTCACGAGTGATCCTTTTACCCTGCTAGAATTCGAACTGAATACGTGGTGGTCTAATAAAAATCACCGTCGGAAGGAGTATAATTACAGGAGTACACGGTGGTAGCTCGAAAAGGGATGGGTGAATGAGGGGCGGACGAGGTGGGGGAGAATAGCGGTTGGAATCAACCATCCCAGAAATCCGCATTCACGTAAAGGAGGATCAGCCGTGGAAAAGCATCTTACACCGAGTCTACGACATCTAATTCCCCGGGGTATATATGTACCTACACCAGTTCGTTCTGTCGCTACAAGAGAGAGTCTATACAAAGGTAGAAATAAATATCATGGTAATCTCGGGATTCACTATGTGGGACACACGGAGATCTTCGTTGTGTCTCTGTGCGCCGTGGGAGTTCATCGGGTACGTTTTCTCTTTAAGGTACACCTAACTTATAAGGAAGGTGAAACTGAAGAACGTTTCATTTATTGATGACGTATTTACAAATAATGTCAGATGCATCTAAATAAATTTCCAAAATTAACTAATCAGCGCGTAAATCTCTCGTACATTTAACAATAAAGTACCTCTAAAAATAACCCCAATAACAATAATCTAAACAGTGTAAGCGAAAGCTGAACGAACATATTCAAGGAAGAAAGTGTACATAAGCTATCGTTGTAGAAGAAGGGACAGAGGAATCGAACGGAAGCGTAGAAGACAAAAGAAAGGGAAGGTAATTTCCAGTGAATCAAGAGCAGCCAGTTTACGTGTATAGTGAAGAGAGATTTCTTTTGATCGGTGCTATCCACTGGCAACGTCAGTTTGTCTAACAGACTTTTAGAAGGAGCCCTCGTTTGACGGGCAAACGGTTGGCCCGTTGTCAGACTACTGATACAGAGGACAGTCATCATCCTTTTCGAACGAGGAAAAGGTCCAGCCTGTCCCCGTCTGTGTTGGTCGTTTATGCATTTCCGCTCGGCTGGATATCGAGTACGCTCGTTTCTGCTTCCATCAAAGGAAACCACAGTACAGAAACGGTCAGTCTCGTCTAATGATGTGGTCGAACTTGTGTCGGACCAGGCGAGAATCGACGTATCTCCACACATTTTGTGATTGTTGTCGGCGATCGGAGTATTTTGCTGGCCTCGTCACCTCGCGTTCTTTCGCACAACTGTGAACTTGCCTTTTTTCCATTCCTCCTTTATTCACCGTAGTCAACAACTTGAAAAGAAAGGTCATTCTGTAATTGCTCTTTGGGTAATAGGACATATTCTGGAATCTACTCTACTATTATTCGATAGGGTTAAAACTCATATTCTTATTCATTATACGCTACATTAAGGATCCTTCCCATATAGATAAATGAATGTACTTGTTGTGGAGCAAATCGATTCTTAGCGTCTTCTTCGTGTCTTAAAGGTTCTTGAAAGGTCCTTTGGGTTATTTCTATTTTTCTATGAACTACAAATGGTCAATCTCTGAATCGGAGAATGAGTATAAGGGAGGCGAGGAGCTACTCGATATCCAGTCGTCATCGTTTAACAACGGGGATGACTTCTTGACCTGCCGTGTATTCAGGTGTTTTAGAGTATACCATTGATTTTTATAATAAACCACGTTAGGTTACGTTCAACTCTAATGAAATTTTCAATTTTACCAGCTTCCTGAAACATTAATAACTTCCAGACGTACTTGTCGCCTGCTCCTCCACCGCTTTCTCTCTTGTCTGTGTCTCGCCGGATCCTTCAGTCGCCTCAATTTGATTCTCGCCCTTCTTTCAGTGAGGATCAGCTTCTCCGTGATATCCTCCACGGCGACGTCGACCCTTCGATTAAGAGATTCGTCTGAATAACTGCTATCCGTGTTGAAATCGTAAGTCGGTAGCAAATCCGATTCTCTAGCTCGGCTCTTTTCTTCCTGTCCACTTTCCCGCCATTTCTTCCTGCCTAAACGACCTTTCGACGCGATCCGAAAATGATCGCGCGAGCAATCGGCCAAAATTCCGGAATCCAACGACTCCGTGATCGGTATCGAGGAACTTTTCAATTTTGGCGTGGAGTTCCGTTGATAGCAGCACATCGCGTACGAATTCACCAGCGAACGATCGAAAAATTCCCTAGGATCTTGGAAAGTTTCGTTCTCTTCCTTCGAGACATCGTCCGACAAGCAATTTTCGGTCAAGTAACTTTGAACCATCGTGTCGAAAGATTTGTCCCGCGAACAGTGCATTTCTGATAAGGAAACGTTACTAGCAGTATAGTACTCGATCGAAGAATTCGGACTGCACCCTTGTTCTCGAAAGGTGGTGTGATAACTGCTCTCTGACCGACTTATACCCAGATTTGAAAAACGTATCGAAGATCTGCACGTCAAATTGGTGCGAATTGATTTTCTTCCTTTCTTGCCATCCGAATTTCCATGAAATTGCTGCAACTTTTGCTGTTTCAACGACGTCGTCATTAACATAAAACGTTCTTGTGACGGATTTTGATCTACTTGAATGCTCGAAGAGGACAGATTGGTCCCAAAGAATTCATTCGAATCATCATTGCCTAAATCGTATTCACTGATCGAGAAATAATCATCGAAGTCCTTTTCTAGCCTCTTTTTAACATTCCCTAGGATCATTATCTCCGAAGCTTTGTCTTCCACGATGAAGTTTCGTGGTTGCCACGAGACGCTAGAGATTTCTGGTGAAGTAGTATTGGATTGAATGACTTCTCCTCCACCACCGAAATCTTCCTCGCCGAAAAGAAACTGAGAATTGTTACGGATTTCTAATGAATTCCTGTCGTAGATTTTGTTGGTTGAATATGTTTTGGATTTATAATGATTATCCTTGTCTCTGAGAAGAACCAGCGATTTACTTTTAATTGTATTATTCCATTGTCGACGAAGTTTTGATAGATCATAATTTTCATAGTTCCCGGTATTATTCCTGGGAGATATTGCTTTTGGTGGTTCAGTATCTTCTCGTGCTTGAATTTTCACATCTTCGAGACATTTTTTTCTGCTAGATGTTCCTCGATAGATTTTGTTGTTTTTTGGTGAATTAGTCTTCCTGGTTTTATTATTGAAATTTGAAGAACTGGTTTTAAAGATAGTTTTAATATCCTTTGAAGAGGAATCTTCTTTAAGTTCATTTTCACATTTTTCCTTCATCTTTTTACGCCTTGGTCTCTTTTTGTCTGAAGTTTGAACAGAAACATTTTTCTTTGTTTTTTCTTTAGGACTGTCAATGAGGTGTTGAGATTCAATATTTTGCTGATTGGAATAACATTCTGTTGAATTTGAGGGATTTTTTAATGTTGATTCGAATTCAGATGATTTTTCACAAGACGATCGTTCATCTCCGTGATGTATTATTATGCAATCAGTTATGGAATTTTTATTTTGCATTTTTTTCGAGCATTCCGCGATCATCGAGGTGAAGGAATTGAATGAGAAAATCTTTTTTTCGTCGCTGCTATCGATACAGGGGGATTTCCATACGTATAAGAAACTTTGATAACTGAAAATAAAAATATGTTCCTTTCAAAATTGACTTTTAAACTTGAAGTTTTATTACTTTTAGAGATACCTCCGAACGATGTCAAAATATTGCTTCAAAAGATTCTTGATATCATCAATTTTCCAAAATTGTCGAGTATTTGTATCTTTGCAATTCAGTCGTAAACCAATAGTTGTGATTTTCGGTGTTCTTGGTACGAAATTCATAGAAACGCTTTTAACTTGACATTCTTTAGAATTGGACTTTTTGCGTTCCTGGTCACGAAAGAGTTTAATCAAAAGCCATGAAAACCAATTTTCACTAGCACTCGTGCGAAAAATAAAACGTTCGGCTGTTGGAAAATCACTCTTCAATCGGTCGATGTAGAGGAACGCCATTTTAAATGTGTTTAATTATTGCTGTTTTGAAAATTTAAAATGTTTAATTTCTCGGCTAAAATAATGTCATTGAAAACACTTACAGCGAATTAAACACATTTCCGCTTCGTAGTTTGAGTAAGTTTTGAGATTAGCCCATGGGTAAATGATATCACATTTTGGTTGTTATCAAATTTCCAACTAACTGAACGTAATTCATCGTGACAAATGAATTTGTACGGATTGTTTCAGGGCTCGCATCAACATGAAATTATTCATAATTGACAGAGGACTTGCTTCTCGTATTTCCAGCTAAATCCCGATGATGTAAATAACGTGACATTAAACAATAAACAAAACATATATACGTTACGATATAATAATTACTGAAAATTAAAATTGCAACAAGTTTAATATTTAAATTGTCACGGTTTTAACAATTAGTCATTCAACAATCCAGTATTGAATGATGCACCAGGTATGTCATTGACTTTAGAATGATAAATAAAATTACTGAAAATATTGAAGATAACAATTGTCTTGGATAAATGAAAAATGATTGGAAAATGAGGCTGGTCGTTTAGTAGCACGGTGGTCGTATCGAATTTCGTGTAGTAGCCTCTAGGGACACGTTAGCTAAATGCATTTGCGTCTCTGTAATCAAAGAGCCATTATCATGCTGGCAAAGGAGCTAATGGAGAGCTATGAAATTCTCTCTATGAAACTGTCGACGATCGCCATGATGTTAAGTCATGTGCAATGGAATGCTTCATCACGTAGCCCAGGTAGTTAGTACACGCATTCAATATAGCTCACCTCTGTGCCCCTTTCCGATCTACGTTCCTTTTCCGCTTTGCACAGGCTAAATCATTACGCGCGCTCCAGACCCCTCTACCAACCATCGACTTATTAATTTTCTGATTAACAAAGGCAGCCAGAAATTACAAGATCCAAATCAGTATTAAAATTTCACTATCGGAATGCTAAGTTTCAAGATTTCGAGACTAAACTTTCAAAGTTTCCAAAATCGACAAGTTTCATAATTACAATATCTACATTTCTAAATTTCTAAATTTTTAAATCTAAATTGTTAATTTTTGAAATTCGAAATTTGAAGTTTCTTCAAGATACGAGTAAGATAATAGTAATCCAGTGTTTCTATTCGAAATAATTCGTGACGAGGCTAAAAATTTCGGACAGTTTGATATCGTGACGAAGCAACAAGTGCACGATAACAGGGGAAACAGGATGTAGGGTGAACCGTAGGAGGCGAAGAGGGGAAACGGAAGAAAGAAAGAGAAACAAATGGAACACGATGAGAGGAAGATCGAAGTAGTGTAAGCAAAGAACTGAACCGACACGAAACCGTGTGCTATGACAGGCGTGCAAAGTCTTTATTTTACAAGTTAATCGCGTTCGCCACGAAACTGGATACAAATGATTTGACGCGTTCGTGCACGTACACGGGTCTCGATGAAAAATGAACCGTGGTACATATAAGTTTTAATTCTTTGCTGTCCAAAGTGGACTTGTCTTATCGTATAAAAGTACCTCTTTAGATCTGACGTACGGCAGAACTTATATATTATTCGAGCTAATTCGATATCTTGTTACCTAAATCGTACCATTTAACCCTTTCGCTACTATTGAAACCGAAATAAAATAATTTCATTTACAACAAGAAATTTTCCATTGCATGCTTGCTTTTTTGAAAGGTAAACGCATCGCGTTGGACGACTATAGTTACTTGCAATATTAAAATAGTTCCTATTTTTTTCACGAAATCCTCTAATCTGAACATCTCTTTTTCACCTGTTCCTTTTTTCTTTTTCTTCATACGAGCGGCGGTTTTCTCGAGATAAAAGAAATCGCGGTATCGTTTCTCACGACATTCAACGTTTAGTGAGCAACCAGGCTTCGCTACAAACGAAGTGTGCTCAGACTTTTTATCAGGATCGACACGGGGCAAAGTTTGAGGACGAATGCTTCGTGTGACCTCGCTGGAAAAAAAAGTTTTCATTGCACGAGATATCCGTGCAGCCTCACCTCATTCCGTGTCATTTCTGCCTCGACTGGGACTTTAATGAGTTCTCATAGAAATGAGTACTTTCTATATTGTCAAGTAACCGGCGATATAGCGAGAGAGTTCGCTGTAATCATTTCGATCAGTTAATTTTTATTATTCATTAGCGATCGATTATCGATTGAATTTATTCCCTGATAGGTAATGGAAGCTGGATGACCCTATGATTTCGTATAGGTAATTTCATTCAATGATGATTTTAAATAATTCATACGTCGCTTTAATAGCAGGTTTCTGGGTTAGCCAGCATTTATTACTCGCGGGTAGTATTGCTCGCGATATTATCCTTTTTTTTTTTTCGTTATCTACATCAGCTCGTTCAATAAATTACAGTGTACAGGTCTAAAGTGTAAGCGCGAATAATATAGTCCGCCCTCGCATGTAGATTACGTACGCAGAACGTGCAACGGCTGCAATGCCAAGCGATTTCCTAAGAATTTGCTAATTGACTGCTCGTGCTGGCCGTTGCTCGTGATAGCCCTTTATACACATAGGTAACGTACATTGGTTAGGCTTTTGCAGCCGCTACTCCTGAGGTCGCGAAATTGATTCCTCCGCCTGAGAGATTTGTTTAACCCTTTCACCGCTAAACAGTTCTGACACATGGACCGTGCGTGTAAGTAACATTCTTTTTCACGTAGAGTTCCTATCCACCATTCACGTCGGTATAATTATTAATTCACAAAAGCAAACATACTTAAGTACATTACATCTTTATGATAAACTGCATAAGGAAACGTCAAAAGGATTTTAAGTCGAGTGAGCATATCCACCGAGATATCAAAATTTTCCTCGTGGACTTGTTTCGAGTAATTTCTTACAGTGCGTGCGTTACGTGCTGACATATCAGAAAACGTAACGCTAATGCATTTGTACGCTTATTAGAATAAAGCAATTATTCAAATTTACACCCGGAAATTCTAAAGTTCTAAAATTCGACAAATGCCTCCAGTTCCAATTATTTGCCAAAATATCTGTAACCGATTCTTATGGAAAATCAGATATGCATGAAAGAAGAAAATGGCACACTTAGCTTCCACGTTCTCTCTGATATCCAGCTAGGCGATAGGGTTAAACGCATATTCAGAAAAGTGGAAAAAACGACGGCATTCGAGGGGCGCAAAAAACGGAAAACGATATCGTCCAGCTAAGAAAGTTAATCGTGAGTAATGTATTTCGTTTGGTTATGCGAACTGCACACGCACGGAGAGCAGAACGTCGTCGCTATAATGTCACATAATTACGCGGTAACAATTAGTAATAGCACGTGACGAAAGGCGGAGAAGGCCCATGGGAGAAAAGTGTAACTTTAGCAACGATTTCGAGCATTATCTGGGCCAACGGTTGCCTGCTTCTACCATTCAACCTCTGTAATTGAATAGCGTCGCGACGCCTTATCTCAATTGTAATTCCCCCCGCTCAAGTACTCTTACGAACTCGTAGAATTTTAAATCAGAGAACATTGTATGACCGCCGAACGATAAGCATCCGCTATTTCTTTCCGATTCGAATGTGAACTTGCAATTTAACTTTCTACTTTTTCTTTCCTGCTGTATTATTATTTAACACAATTTATGGTCTTATGACAATTACCCGATAAATATAAAGCTTCGAAATGATTGATACTAAAAGAAAAAGAAAAAATCCGCCGTTTTATTCAAAGCCCAGATTTTACGTAGCAATTAGCCGAAAACGAGCGGATCGTTTGTCAGCGAAGAAGAGAAACGGAAAAGCAAGTTTCTAAATGAGTTCCATCCCCGATTGTGACGGGACGAATCCAGTATCTTTTCATCATCCGGCGTGCTCATCAGCATCTTAGCGCAGTCTGTCACGAGCTTTTCAATTATAAGGACCGTGCATTGTTTTGTCGAGCCCGTTCAGGCATTCAAACGGTACTTTTCGATCTCCACGGGTTCTCATAGAGTCGACGCTCCTGTGGGAACACGGTCCTCAGCGATGTGCACAACCACCAATTCCTGTGGGAAATATCTTCACCCTCGTGCGTCTAACAGATTGCTATCAAAGGGGCTTCATGGTGTGCAAATTGGTTTACATGGTCGGTGTTTTCGCTCTCATCGCGTTGCGCATCCCCATAAAAAGGAAGCCACCTATAGTGGCGCGTTTCCATTCGGGGTGCACCGACACGTGCTGGAAATATTACTGTTAAACGAAATTAAAAAGCGGTGTCATCGAGATGCGCCCAGTGCCAGTATTTATTTGGGGGACCGGTACCGTGTATTATTTCGAACGTCTCTGAAGACCGTGATCATGGGTTTTTCATGGGAACCGGGTTTGCTTAAAATTAAATTCGTATCTGTATCCTGAAGTTTTATTTTTAATCTAAATATCGAGATTCGTTAAATGTTCATTAGAATATTTTTGCTCAGAATCAATTATGTATTACAGGGTTGACGTTCTGTATATCCCATGATACATTTTAGCTGAAATTCAATGATGCGTCATCTAATTTTCATGGTAAAACAATATTCTATCACGCAGCTATGATTAACAAGGTGACGAAGCGCAGCACCACCCTCGGCCGAAACTCATTTTACAGTAGGTACACTTGGTCTTCGTCGATTACCGGCTACCGTGCGTGATCCTCTCCGCAGGGACCTCGAGGAGATGGGCTCGAATATCGTGAATCAGTGTAAGCACGTATGTAGGTGGTGGGTTGTACGTGTGTACGGTTGTCTCATCATGGGAACAACGGGGGCCACGCCACGACAGAGAGCACAATGCGCCATAGAAGGTAGAAAATTTGCGATTTCGACGCGTGCACGACACGTGTCTGACCAACCTCCGGCTAGATTAACGAAGCTTTCTATACCCAACGCTTTCCTTTTCCCCTCGTTGATTTTCCTAGCTGGAAATTTGCTACTACACTGTCAGAACGTTCGGAGGACTTAACAACGGACCGTAGGAAATTTATGTTTCTGGGTTTCTAGGCCCACGCAGTGTGCTGTTATTTAATTAACTCGTCGACGTCGTTCGAATAATTGGTCAATTGGAAACGTTGGGAATGAACTCTTGGTATCGTATTTGAAGAAATTTTGATTCCGTAGATTTCCGAAGGTAAGCAACGTGGTATCGTGATAAATTTATCGTCACGTGAAAATATACCTTTAAAGTATCCTATGGATACACGTATCCCGGTAACGCCGAAATCCGATACACAGGAAGTTCAATGCAATTTCTCGGGGCAAAATCAACAGAAGACATCAAAGGAAGTGACCC